CGGTTATATGGTTTCTTCGTGCCTACTGTAATTACTTGTGAGATGATCGAGAAATATTGTGATCTGCGTTGAAAAACCGATGTGGCACGATTTTTTTTAAAAGATCGTTTTGACTTGTTGAAGTGATTTAGCAAAGATAGACTGCGTGGAACAAAAGAGCTTTCATCGAAGGCGACCGACAGTTACACGAGATGCGAGCTTACTCCTCGGAGTCGCTTAAAAAAAGGTTGAACCGATGTCGCGTAACCGATTCCTCGCTTGAAAGAAACCGTTTATTTGGCACAACAGTTTTATCGGTAATCGCATAACATCGACTCTTTCTCTTATATGACGAAAAATGATTTCAGACAAAATAAAACACCCTTTTCGCGGAAGCGCACGTAGATCGGTATACAATGCACGGCGCTCGGGTTCTCGCTCTTTTTCATACCCCGCCGTGCAACTATATACCCAACAGCTCTATATGCGTGAATACGTCCGTCCATATATTTATATATATATAATGGCACTCTTTCTCTCTTTCGTTTTCGTTCACGCTTTCTATGCTGATGCGCGTGTACATGTACACCGCGAGCCGGTTTTCATTTCGGAGCGGCTTTACGCATATACGCATGATGGGGAGAAGCGAGAAAAAGAGACGAGAGGGGCCGGGGGGAAAGTCTGTAACACATGGGCATAAGGGGCCATCGACATGGCTTTTCGCGCCTTTGGACGCACGTGCAATATATATATACTTACTAACACACGCGCGCACCCACGAGAGAGTTCTCTCCGCCCACGTACCGATGTTGTGATTTCATGGCTCGTATACGGCCTCGTTTCCGTGATCCTTTCAAGCGTCGCCCGTTAAAGACCCCCGACGAGAAGTAAACACATATATCTTTTACACTACATACATGGGTACACAATATATATATATTTTACCGAAGCCATCAGCTATGATGAATGAATCGAGAGCTTCGTGTTGATATTTTTCCTTGATTCCTCGTTGCGCCTATACTTATATGCATCATGCCGCACCGACGAGTGATTGTTTGATAAATGAATCAAGCGGAGAAAAATCCGAGGATATGTCGGGAGATGCTCACTTACGCGAGTGTCGATTGATCGGCGGGGCATGTATATATCTATATACCTGTGTAACATTTTTTTTTTTTTTTTTTTTTTTCGGTCCGACGGCAATTTTCAATTACCAAGTTGCTATTTTTACGCCCCTGATGTGATTCATGAAAACGAAGGGCGGAGCCGTCGATGATAAATTAGGGGGCGATCTCCGATCGGAGAGACCCATAAGAGTATAATATGTATGTGTATCACATATATATACGTATACCTACCGCAGGGCGAACACCAGAGGAATCGCAGAGCTTTGAACTTGAAACCCATATTTGCGGGCCCGGACTCTATATTTAAAGTCACGAGAGAAAAGCCGGGGCTCTCTTTTGGTTTTGTTGCTCGCACTTGTCTGCGGCAGGTATATGTGGTTGGTTGGCGATGGATATACGTGCTTACCCCTATACCCCCCCTTTCATTATGTTTCGCGCGATATAAATTCTTTCGGCTCAATTTAGAGGGGAGGCCCTCACTTGGGACATATTTACGGCTGCTGGCTGATGGAAGTACCTTTTTTTTTTATTTGCCGTGTATTTTCGTGCAGGTTATCGGATATCGGCGCATTTTTTGCAGTTAGATTATGCGAAAAAGAAAAAAAATATGTGATTCAAGCTACGCAGTGGGTCTTAGTACGTAAATGTACTACACAAATAACGATGACGTTGTCCCAAAAGTCACGTCATGTTTTCCTACTTTGTTAAAAAATATTTTACCATTGACGAAAATGATGTGCATGTATACGAAAGCCTCGCCAAATGTGTTTACTTTACTTTTGCGGGACCAACGAGTCATTACGAATTACTTACTGTACATTCACATATATTTTTTTAAAATATTTTTTGGTTTCATGTAAGGGTTGGGTGCAAGTGAGTATAATCAATATCAATAAATAACACAACTGCATCATTTACAATTGCTTTATTATATTTTTCAGAGCATTTTATATGGACTATCAGCATTTATACATATATACTTCTTATCAATACTGTGTACATCATGTGTATTCTTTTTTTTTTATTATTATTTTATATTACGATTTTTCATCAGCAATCAAAATTGACATTTGACAGTTCAAAAACGTTTCAACATGGCCTTAGTTATACAGTTTTTACAGTAAATCACAAGGCTTGGATCGATTAATTCTTTGTTTTCTCTTATACAAGAGGAGAACTCGTTTAAATTTATTAATTTTAGTTGTGACGAGGGAGACGCGCACAACTAATTCTTGTAAAATATGGTCCGATCGGCAAAATTTGTCTTTATGAATACATTTTTTTTTTTTTTTTTACAATCAATACAAATGACAGTACTATTTATCGTGTAAAACTAAGGGGGATGAACATTTTAATAATATTTTTACACGTTGATTGTAATTTTTGCAATCACTAATTGATTATTGATAAAAATTTTTGTCCAATCAGTCGTGTTGGTTGAGTAATTGAAATTTTCGTGATATTATACACCGAATAAATTCGATTAAAAATAAAATTTGTAGAAAATGATTATTTTTTTATTCGGCGAATCAAGTGTTGGTTTTTTATATTCTTATGCAGTTTTTTTCATCAAGTCTCAATTTTATTTAACAAAACGCCTGCTCTACATCATAAAAAGAGTATCTCAATAATTTCAAACATGCGTATAATTATCAAGAAAATAAATTCTATTTATTGATGGCAAAAATAAATTTCACCATACTAAACAACACTTTCTTCTTTTGCTCAATGACTATTCTTTACACTTACAGGTTCGTAAAATGCAAAAACAATTGATAATTCGACAAATAAAAAATCACCGCGCAAAGTAAAAATGTCTTAATCATTATACAATACTTCGAGATAACGTAAATCATACGATGTAACGTTTCAATGAAAAAGTATAAGAGAAAAAAAAAAGCACCCACTTCCATTTTACCTCATATGGATAAATACTTAAGAATCGAAGCAGTGCCATTTGATGATGGCACTGTGCCCACAAAGAGAGCATTAACACGAAACGTGCGATCAATTATTCGAAACGGACGATAAACGTGCAAAGACTTTTGCTCCTCGGAGCTCGACACACTGCACATACGCTTACATCATCATTTAACAAGATTCCCCAGAAGAGACATCGAAACGTAACGCTATACCGCAGTTGTACGTGATAAATTAAAAAGCCACGTCAACATCTTAATTGATAGATCGTGCACACATGGCCCTTCCAAGAGTAACATGGTATATTGTTGCTGCCTTGTACACCGCACACGCCCGTATATATATATATATCAAGTGCAATTTAAAATTCGTAAGTAATACAATCCGGCTTAATGGAAGAGCGCGACAACGAAACGCGCTCGTAAATAGCCCGTCCGGCAAATTATAATACTAACCGAACAGTATACAATGGCACACGTGTGCATTTTCTTCTCCCCCCTTTTTCATTTTATACAAACATCCTGCATTGCACGTCGCATATGTGTCGTGTGTGGCATTTTTATGAGTTCAAAGAGCCTCCGTGTCTTATATATGTAAAATGTTTATGTGTGAAAGAATAACAGTATCACTTTGATCGCTAATCAATCGAATCGTGTTGTATCTGCGCACTGCTGTACACATAATTATAGCGAGGGAGAGATGGGGGCCCCATCATGGGGCAAACACGGTTACCCAAAGAGGCTATAAACGCAATTGTTGTGTAGCTTTAAAGTCTTTGCAAATTCACCTGAAGTTTCTCTTTTTAATCAGTTCCTTTTTTTTTTTTTCTTCTTTTTTTTTGCGATACGATATCAATATTTTTAATAATTAGTTAAAATATGTACGTTAACAATATTTACATAAATATTTCCCACAGTTCCGGAAAATGTTTTCACAAAGAAGATTTGTAATACGTTATTGAGAAACAGTTTTTTCATTTTTTTTAAATCAATTTTTCGTTATTTGTACATTGATTGGTACAGTTGGATTTTACGTTGACATTATTAATAAAAACAGTAAATATGTACATATATTAATAAAGACGACTAACAATTCTCTTGAATTTTCTTTCTTAAAAACGCGCATAAAAATAATATTTGGGAAAAAATCAAGAACCATAAAAAAAAAATCTCGATTTAACATTCTTTCGTAAAATTAGTAATTTTCGTCTTTGGATCAAGTATTGGGTAAATTAAAATTTTATATTTGATATGTGTGGATAACTCCATTTAAAAAAATAAATACATAAAACTACTAACTGCATAAAGTTAATTTTCAATATTAAAAATAAGTCAAAGAAATAAATGCTAAAACATTAGCATGTAAAACAGCCGTTTTCAGTGTTAAACAATAAACAAGGTGGAAGCTTTAGCTTAAATGAATATTATCACAGAGAACATTATGTATTTCGCACATCTGCAGATTGAAAAATTGGGCTTTCCATACGTATGTACAATTTATGCTGTGATAGTTTTGTCTTGTATATAGTTAAAAAGCGATACTTATAAAATTAATTAACAACGCAAAGCATTTGGAAAGCCCAATCTCATAGGCCATTGTTTATTAATTATTATTATTATTTTTTTTTAATTTTAATATTAGACCAATGTGCAAGTAAAGCTTGAATAGTACATCAAAAAAAGAAAAATATGTCTTTTACTACGGGTAATTCGATTAAAATTTTGTTTAGATTCAATATTTATTGGGCTTTATTTACGGAACATTGAAAAGATAGTAAAAAATATGTGTAATTCATAGGTCAGCTATAATTTCAGGACTAAAATTATGTTTTTGTATAACATTGGTCACCACTTATTTTGTCATTGATACTATTTTTTCTTATCAATTTTTTTTTTTTTGGACAAAGAAAAAATTCTTTGTTGTTCGAAATATTTCCGAGGATTATAAAAATTCTATCTACTTAATAATTGAAATTTACCTTAATAAAATAAACTCTTGAAACAAGTGGACTGTTCAAATTTCCGTAGTAAATAAAAATAATTTATGAAAAANCTTTTTACAAACAAGTGGGAAAGCAAAAAAGAAATTTTAATTTTCGAGGTAAATTACCTGCTGGACCTGAGCTACTAGAATTACGTATGGCATTTGTGACTAGCATAACTTCTGGATATGTTTCGTAACATGCCCTATTGTGAATATCTTCAACAGCTTGACTTGCAATGTACCAACAATTATTGTACCTGAAACAAAAAAATAATTGGAATAAAAAATTGTACTCAACAATAGTACAGTATCAAAAAATAGGACAATATTAGTACATGGCGAAATAAATTGCATGGAGGAACTCGAGAAGAAATTGACTGGATACTGGTATTCGTGGTAAAAGCCTAGGGACAAAACTGGAATCACTACCATAAGAAGTTCGTTGGTGATGTCCCGGTTTCATGAAGCCTTGTGTAACAAGTCTAAAAATAATATAATTGTACATTTGTAAAATTGAAAATTTCAACTTGTAAAAAATATTTTGCTACCTACTTGGAGGCAACTTTACAAAATGGCTCCATAGCTGATTTTTTCAAAAACCCTATGTGTTGATTAAAAACAAACAACAATGCTGTCATTACTTTCAGCCTGTTCTGAGCATTTAACGATTCAACGTGTTTCAAAGGACCCCAACTGACAAGCTTTGTATTGCATTCTTCAAAACGCCGCACTGCACTTTCCGTTAGTGATGCTGGTGCTAAACTAGATGGCTAGTGCAATCAAATGATTTTTTTGTTTTCAATAATAAGTCGATACGTAAATTACTCTTTAAAAAGGAGACTTACTTCATGATAAATGGACATCATTGCAAGAGAAGGTAAACGAAATGACACAGCTTTGGGCTGGCCATCTTTGTCCACCAGTTCTAAATTATAAACTCCAAGTAACAATGTTTCTATCGTGCGGCAGTTCTGAAAACAATTTGTTTACACAAATGTCATGTTGCACTCACTTCTTGGTTCGTTATATAACGTGAAATTCACAAAACAGTGACATTCGTATTTGATCAGAGATGCAAATACATAAAAAAAACGTGCAATTAATACTATGACAGTACATTTTTACACCGACTTGAACGCTATACTTCACAAATCTTACATAATGGAATGAAAGTCATTGAAGATGATTGATGAGAAATATTGTTGAATTTATTTACATAAAAAATAAAAATAATTTATGAAAAATCTACTTTTTTAATTTGTTTGCGAGCCGCAATTCTCTTGGATCAACAGTTTGAATACATAAATTAAAAAATCATCTCAATATAAATTTTACCTGAATAATGGAAATCATTTTATTCTGCTTTTGCATGTTTCTCTGCTTTACTAATTTTCTCATTTGGTTGTTGTTGCTGTTGTTGTTCTTGTTGAATTGGTATATCATCTGTAATGAAATAAAAAAAATCGAGACTGTAGCAGTTTCATAAGTACGTATGATATCAATACTTTGAAATTTAAAAATATCAAGTGAGTAAATTAATGTGCATAAGCAACAGTATTTCATTTTCCATAAGACTTTTGAGGTGATTTGGGTGAATGTATCATTTTATGTATAAATAAGCAATTGTGAAACATAAATCAGATTTGAACAAAATCTAGCTGCTATGTAAATGATTTTTCACATACTCATAAACGTGAAACGTTGATACGTGAAATGTACATACAATTAATATCTGCAAAATACAATCGAGCAATGCACATATATTTGTAAATAGTAAGCTGGCAGTGATACACTGCGTAAGCTTGAAAAATCGTGACGCGTGTTTAGATCGTGTTTTTACAAAAGAACTACGCAGCGTGTCGATGCTCTACAGTTTCATATTTTAAAACTGTATTTTTTCTTAATCCAATGACTGGTTTCGTGAAACATATTTACTGTGTGCCTAGTGATTTCAAGCCAACAATTTCTTGACTCTTGGTGTCGAAAGCACTTATAAAATACTCCAAATTTCTTTCATACTGCTATTCATAAACAGCCCTCACCTCGTTCTCTTTTTCTCCTTGTTTTTAATAAAACTACTACTATTTATTTCTCTACAAATGATGTTAACGACGAAATTAATACAAGTAGGAGCTGTTGGGCGACATTTCATCAGGTGTACAGAGGTTCAATGGCTGATTTTTGTTTTTTATGCTGCTACCACCGAGTTTTCCCATAGCTTCGCCCAGTGCCTGTTCCTCCAATACTCGATATAATCGTTGAGCTGCACTAGCTTTTACTTCGTGACCAACTGAAAGCGTAGCACCTTCGTTCTTATCCTTGCTCTCCTCAGTCTTTTTAGCCTCCTTTTTAGAGGATTTTGATTTGTCACTATCTTTGCGTTTTTCACGCGAACGTTTGGGTGACGACCGATTCGGCGAGCTATGACTGCTGCACATACTCTCACGACGTGAATTTTCAACCGAAGGTGGAGGCGCAACGATGCCAGGCACCTGCTGGCGATCGGTGCTTGCAATGTCTGTTTCGTCGAATGAATTGTGCAGCGGATTTTTCCAGAGCCAGGCACGACGTCGGGCAATGCCAAGCGGAGTGCGCTGCACCTGTTGATTTGGCGAATGATTTTCGCTAGCTGGTGTCTGGTCGCTCTTTGTCTCGCCACTCTCGAATAACATCTCGTCAAGGTCGTCTAATGGCAAGCAATGGATGATAGTCTTCATAATCATGTTTAAGAGTTTACCAGTGACAGATGGAATATTGTGTACATAAAATTCTTGTATTTTGAATCGAGATATACATATACCTTTTATATTTCATTCAATTATTCAATGCTATCTTAACATGTTTAACTAATCTTGGCTAACAATAAACAAAGTGTTGATTAAACGATGTATTTTTTAATGACATGACGTCATTCTCTGCGCTGTAAATAAACGAACAAATTCTCAAACTTGAAAAATTTAACTTACCCGGTAATTTTTTGGTGCGAAACGAGGCATTTGTGATCATAGATTTCAGTATTGTTGCAGTAGAGGTCAATGACGTGAAACTAAGGCCTATAGGTCCATCTGAAGGTTGTCCTGAAAAATCGCCCAATGAATACTTTTTACAAACAAGTGGGAAAGCAAAAAAGAAATTTTAATTTTCGAGGTAAATTACCTGCTGGACCTGAGCTACTAGAATTACGTATGGCATTTGTGACTAGCATAACTTCTGGATATGTTTCGTAACATGCCCTATTGTGAATATCTTCAACAGCTTGACTTGCAATGTACCAACAATTATTGTACCTGAAACAAAAAAATAATTGGAATAAAAAATTGTACTCAACAATAGTACAGTATCAAAAAATAGGACAATATTAGTACATGGCGAAATAAATTGCATGGAGGAACTCGAGAAGAAATTGACTGGATACTGGTATTCGTGGTAAAAGCCTAGGGACAAAACTGGAATCACTACCATAAGAAGTTCGTTGGTGATGTCCCGGTTTCATGAAGCCTTGTGTAACAAGTCTAAAAATAATATAATTGTACATTTGTAAAATTGAAAATTTCAACTTGTAAAAAATATTTTGCTACCTACTTGGAGGCAACTTTACAAAATGGCTCCATAGCTGATTTTTTCAAAAACCCTATGTGTTGATTAAAAACAAACAACAATGCTGTCATTACTTTCAGCCTGTTCTGAGCATTTAACGATTCAACGTGTTTCAAAGGACCCCAACTGACAAGCTTTGTATTGCATTCTTCAAAACGCCGCACTGCACTTTCCGTTAGTGATGCTGGTGCTAAACTAGATGGCTAGTGCAATCAAATGATTTTTTTGTTTTCAATAATAAGTCGATACGTAAATTACTCTTTAAAAAGGAGACTTACTTCATGATAAATGGACATCATTGCAAGAGAAGGTAAACGAAATGACACAGCTTTGGGCTGGCCATCTTTGTCCACCAGTTCTAAATTATAAACTCCAAGTAACAATGTTTCTATCGTGCGGCAGTTCTGAAAACAATTTGTTTACACAAATGTCATGTTGCACTCACTTCTTGGTTCGTTATATAACGTGAAATTCACAAAACAGTGACATTCGTATTTGATCAGAGATGCAAATACATAAAAAAAACGTGCAATTAATACTATGACAGTACATTTTTACACCGACTTGAACGCTATACTTCACAAATCTTACATAATGGAATGAAAGTCATTGAAGATGATTGATGAGAAATATTGTTGAATTTATTTACATAAAAAAAAAAAAAAAAAAAAATGTGTTTTTACTACAATTACCTTGATGTCCCCATGAGCAACAGCATTCAAATAAATGTAAATCAGAGTGGGCAAAAATTGTAAACTAAATCTCTGGAGTTGTACCTCCCTGGATCTATAGAAATCAAACAGTTGATTGCACACAGTCTCCACCAACTAAAAGAAATACGTAAAAATTTTAACAAATGCAAACCGACACCTTTTGATCCAATTTTCAGTTCACAAAAATCAAGTACTTGCCTGACTGTATTTGCTACGCTCTTCCAGCATTAGGTACAAAGCCTGGACAACCTCATCATCCTGGGCAACATTATTGGCAAAGGTGTTGAGCTCCACGTTAGGGAGCTCAGCACAATCGGCCAGCCACTCATTGATGATACTTTCGATCATCCTGCAATTGATAGTCTCTTAGCCTCCAGCAGAAAATTAGTGTTTTGATTACATAAAAACTGGGTCAAGGCTTTGTATAAACCAAAATATTTTATCTTATCTATGCAGACTTGCACCACTGTTATTATATATTTTAATCTGTAACAGAAAACCACAATAAAGCAACAGAGCACAGGTGTTGTTTATTTCAGCCAAGTATTTGTACCGGCACAATTGTTTTAGTTTCCTGACACAATTTTTCACAACCAGCAAGATTTTTGTTAGAAAACCCTGTTATCTCTGCTCGCACTGATAACAAGTTACGCAGACTGAACAGGTCAGGTAGGTGAGAAGGTGAGGTCAAGTGATTGAGAGTATGAGGTGTATACACATGTGCTTGTATATGGATTATCTTCGTGAATCGTGATCCGTGACTCTCTGCTATAACTCCCTAACAGTGGCCGTCATCCGCAAATGCTGCCAGCAGTTTAGCAGTGTATAAGATCGGGCGGCGCTAGCGTCAACCTGTACTAACTGTACACTGTCAACTGTGACTGTGACAGACGTTAAACGTTAAACTGTCGGTGCTGTCGGTATAGGTTCCGCATCAACAAACTTCGACATTGTTTGCTGTTTTTCACTCCCATGCCACTGATGCCACCCGATATTTCGGAGTTTGTTAACATACGAACCCAACCCACAACCAACAACCCACCGAGTCTAACAGCGTTTCTCATATATATATGATTAGTTGCGGCTGGTTTATAATTAATAAAATGACTTTACTGTAAATAGCAATAATTATTTGGATCAGCGCCATCTAGCGGTCTTTCTTTTTTGGCCAAAAGTGGCTCCTAAAATTCTGAATCAGAGCAATCAGGATTAGAGCCATTTAATCAATTATAAACCAGCCGCAACTCATCTTGTAGCTATAAAATGAAAAAAATAACAATATATGTGTTTTTGGCGGCAAGTTAACAATCTATTTTTTACCAAAAAATCGACCTCCTATGTGTTTATACTTTTGAAGATAAATTTTCGAGCATAAGATAGATTGTTATCTTGCCGCCAAAAACACACGTATCGTTATTTTTTTATTTTATAGCTTTAGTATAAGTTGCGGCTGGTTTATGATTGATTAAATGGCTCTAAGCCCTTATGCTCGGTTTCAGAATTTTAGAGGCCACTTTTGGCCAAAAAATTAAAACCGCTAGATGGCGCTGATCCACATAATTATTACTACTTACAGTAGAGCCTAAAATTAATTATAAACCAGCCGCAACTAATCATACATATATATAATAAAAATTTGACGTTGGCTGTGCTGTTTGCGGCAAGTTTACAATTTATCTTTTACCCAAAAATCTACTTCCAAAAGTATCAATATATATATAGGAGGTCGATTCTCGGGTAAAAGATAAATTGTAAACTTGCCGCAAATAGCACGTCATGTTAAAGAATATGTATGAAGTTACATTAGTTACTTTTATGTGTGTTTAGCGTTGGAAAAAAAATGTGGCCAATGCTATAATTGAACATTACAAAACCTTATAGTACCTAGAGCTTTTTTTCACAAATGACGTTGTTATAGTACAGTCAGCGTCTTCTTGAGAAAACATTTTTATTACGAGTCGTCAAACGAGTCTATCTTTAATTTAATGCGAGTATGTTATCAGAATAATGAACGAAATTAGCTTTTGTTAACTTTTACTTCGCTAACATTTAAAACTATAAAAATTTTGAATCAGCACCATCTGGCGATATTAATCTTCTCAGTGAGTCTCGGTACTGAGGTACTCCTTTATAAAGTCAAAAATTAACGAAGAAAAATCAGTGAAAATGAAAATCGAGAAAATTAATTACTCACCTTATATATTTTTTTCAATAAGCTAAAAGATGAGACAAAGTTACAACTTGGCTTAGCTATTGTTTATTTAGCATATTTTTTATCGTTGTATTGTTATGTTTTCTTTTTTAGTACAATATGTTGAGAGGGCAAAATAATAAGCTGTGTATTCCACGATTCAAATCATATCATTTATTTTGTTCACATGATAGTATAATACAATCCACCACTTTATTAAAGTGTTCGAAAAATAGTATAAAGAAAGGAGTAATCAAACAATAGACAGTAATACCTAAAGTGTCAATTAACGATTATCACTAAATCTAAAAGTTTTACACTCTACACCCATAGACTTTAAACAACAGCCATTTGTTGAAAAATTACACTCTTTAGTTCATTTTAGGCTCATTTCTTTAGCCTAAAGATTCTCTCATAAACATACATCCTACATTTTTGCATAGATTTATACATTATTTTCAACTATCATTATCTCCTCTTCTTCGTCAGATATAAACTTTTTGGATATTCGTTTTCTTCGTCCTCTTCCACTTCCTTCGCCTTTTCGACCTTTCAATTTAATTTTCATCCTCATACTGGGATCTGTATCAGGTCCTTCTTCCACTTCTCGAATTTCCCTTTCGTCCTCTGAAGCTTGACTCTCAGCCTCAATCCTGAGTCGTGCATTTCTAAAGACGGTTTGCAGCGTACGGGAATTTTCGTAGATTAGCGAAGCCTCTTCATTATAGATTTGTGCATTTTTACATAATTGCATGAAGTCTTTCTCCAAATCGTCCAAGTCGGTATATTTACCGTCGTCGATCTTTTGAATCAATTTGTTAATGGCAAGAGGTCTTTTGATGATTTCATAGTAGTCGGGAAATTCACGCCGAGGTGGCAAATCCATAAACGGTTCGCTCAACCGATGACCATCTGGATTGTCTGTATAGTTGATCACTATAGACAAAACTTTCTTCATTCTTTTCTTTAGCTTTGGATCAATGTGTGCTTTCCTCTTTCGTGGCATCGAGTCGTCGTCATCATCTCCCTTCCTTCTTCTCTTTCTCGTTGTCTTCTTTTTTTTATCATCTTCTTCTTCCTCTTCCAAATCGAGGCCTTCTTCTCCAATAACCTTCAGCCATTCTTTTTCGGTAAGACTATTTGTGTAGTCAACCTCTTTACGTTGTCTTGAACCTCGGCCCATTACAGACTTATCCTCATCCTCTTCATAGGCCCATTTTTCAACTTCCTCGTCATCCTTGATGAGCCATTCCGGTAATTCTGATTCATCCAACAACCTCGATTTCCTGTTGAAGCACATTTTTGATTCTTCTCTCCTCCTTTCCAGGTCCATTTTCTGAAACTCCTCGAATTCAGTTTCACTTCTGGCGATCATCTGATTTACCGTTTCGTCATCCGGAACTTCGTTTTCCTCCTCGTCGTCTGCATCGTCTTGATGTAATATGGTTTGCAAAAACTGCTGTCTCTCCGAGCCCGTAGACTTTTGGTCAAACATACCAGCTTGAATGACCTTCTCGTCCATGTTGAGCTTGTACCTGGCGGCAGCCAAGATTCGCTCCTCCACAGAGTTTACGGTCATCAGTCGCAGTACTCTTACTTCGTTTTTCTGTCCAATACGGTGAGCTCGATCCTGCGCTTGCAAATCTTGGTGGGGATTCCAGTCGGAGTCAAAAATAATTACAGTATCTGCCGCCTGGAGATTCAAACCAAGACCGCCAGCTCGCGTCGACAAAATGAACAGAAAATAATTAGAGGCCGGGTCGTTAAACTTTTTCAACAGATCACCCCGATCTTCAGCTTTGGTTGTTCCATCTAATCTTAAATACAGGAATCCTCGATAATTCAGATAGTCCTCCATTATCGTCATTAGCTGCGTCATTTGACAGAACAATAGTACCCTATGAGACGTGGCTTTCAGCTTGGGTAAAATTCGATCCAGCAATTCGAATTTGCCAGACGCGCGGTACAAGAGAGGCCCGGTTATCACACCACTTCCCTGAATACCTAAATACTCACAGTATTTTTCTTCAATGTGGTGGAACATGAAGGGATGATTGCAAAGCTTTCGGAGCTGCACAATAGTGTTCATGAGAGCTTTCGCACCTCCCTTGCCGCGTTTACCTTTTTCCGAGCCGTCAGTTAATAACACACCTTTACTCTGCATGTGCTTGTAGAGCACCTTTTGCAGACCCGACATATCACATTTAATAATATACTCTACTTTATCAGGCAGCTGAGACTCAACTTCCTTCTTGAGGCGTCTCAGCAAGAAAGGACGCAAAACTTTGTGCAGACGACGGATAATAAGGATAGTTTCTTCTTCGTTAAGTTCAACTTTCTCACCGGTAGTGGCGAAAGGCGCGTTAAACCACTGTTCGAACGTACTACAGGATTTGAAGATAGACGGGAGCAAGAAATTTAATAAAGCCCACAACTCGGGAAGCTTATTTTGCAAGGGCGTACCGGTAAGCAACAAACGATGAGGCGCGATATAATGAGTGTTCAACACGTGGGTTAATTTACAATGATGATTTTTCATTCTGTGACCCTCGTCAATGATCATGTACTTCCACTGGAGCTTAGCTAAGACACTTTTGTCTTTGATTATGTATTCGTACGTGGTTAATAAAACGTTAAACTTGGTGGCACGCATTTGCGACTGTATTGTTCGCCTACCGGCCGGAGATCCTTTGTACGAAACAACGACGACGCTAGGCGCCCACTTTTCGAATTCAAGTATCCAATTCGAGAGCGTCGACAGAGGAACAATGATGAGGAAAGGTCCGTTCACTTTCTTCTTTTCCATTAGATACGTGATAAGAGATATAGTCTGGATGGTTTTACCGAGACCCATCTCGTCGGCCAAAATACCATTGAGGTTGTTATTGAACAACGAAACCATCCATTCTAAGCCTTTGACTTGATATTCTTTTAGCAGACCATTTACCATGATAGATGCCTGCTCCGTGACGCTCTCATGTACGGTATGAGCGATACTATAATACGTCTGCTCTTCAGTCTTGTACTCGTCGTCCTCTACCTTGGTCTTCTGTATGGTCTTTTTATGCTTAAACTCTTCTACGTATGATCTATCGTTTTCGTTTCCGTTTTCATTCTCTTGGCCATTTTCGTCTTCGTCATCGTCGTCCTCTTCACTGTCAGTCTCTACAGCCTCCCAGCCCGGATGCGATTCGAGAAATGCATTCAGTTGGCTCAGGAACGGAGCTTCGTCACCACTTAAAGTACGACCAGTAGCGGTCTCCATCACCTCGACTCGGACATCTTCGCCGTCGAATCCCTCGCCATTCTCGCCTTCCATCGACAACCTCTTTTTTTTCTTCTTGCGCTTTTGTTCCTCGACTTGCTTCTTTTTTTGTTCCATCTTGTGCTGTTTGACCATCTCTGTGAGATTTCCAATATACTCATCAGTTTGAGATAGAAGGAAAGCAAGACGTTTATCTTTCTTTTGATCGATGAGCTTTCTGTAACCCTCCTCGTCCTCTGCCATGAGGCGTCGCATACGTTCTTTCTCTATCCTCTCCTGCTCCTTCTTTTGTTCTCTTTCGGCATTGGCGTGATGATTGAGTATAGCTTTATTAAGACGTGACAGCCTTGCGACATTATTCCTATGGAATTCTTTAAAATCTTTACTATGCTGTAACACTGAGCTGATGAATTCTTGATGCTTTTGGCGACGCTTTCTTTCAGCTTCCAATTTTTGCTGCTTCTCGAGTTTCTCAGTGGCACGAGCTTCTCGCAACCCTTGTCGTTTTGTGCGTTTGTAAACTTTGGCGTTCACTGCCGTTTCTAGGGTAGTGTCTTTACGAGTGCACGCCAATATTTCTGTTCTAAGCTGCCTTTGGAAATTCAATACCCTGAGCATGCCAAGCTCAATTTGAGCATGAATGCGTAAATCTTCCGGCATATTTGTAGGCATGTAATTGAGTTGCTCCACGCGAAGAGCGATTCGTGCAGCAACTCGATTCTCTCGCTCTTGCAATAGAATCAGCGGATCCAATCCGGAAGGTTTCCCTACTGGGGTAACTTTGTTGGGTTTGGAACCAGCTTGAGGTCCTTGCTGTTGTGGTCCTTGGTTCGATTTTGGAGGACCTACAAATCCAGGAACCCCTGGAGCTGTTAGTGGCATTAGAGATTGTACTACGTCCAAGGACTTTTGACCTTGCACAGCGAGTACTTGCTGCTGCGTCAGAGGCTGATTACGCGCAAGAGAGCGGTAGGCCATTATTTGCGCTCGGAGCTGCTGAACTTGTGGATTACTAAGAGATTGCTTATCACTATTGCTTGTTCCAAGCTGTTTAGCTTTCAATGCAAGGAGTTGAGCGTAACGCGGATCATCTTGCAATCCTTTATCTTCCATCGCATCAATTGCTTTCTGCAAGCCAATAAGGGTATTGTGAGCAGCTCCGGCACTTGATCCCATTTCTGATCCTGATATACCATTTTGCACTGGGCCTTGTATAACCGGGAGCGGAGCTATAGTACCATTTAGAGGTTGCGGTTGATTACCTGTAAATAAAGGTTTTTATTAAAATAATGTTTTTGCAAAAAATTTTGCAATTAAAAATTTTTTTAAATACTTTAACAACACCAAGTAAAGCTATACCAGTTTAACGATTACTACAGTTAAATCAACTAGTTTGAACCATGAAACAGTTACTTACCTATGTTTTGCGTCATCTGTGGCACATGAGCATGACTAGGGTTAGGTGAATGAGACGAAGCGATAGCACCTGTCTGTCCAGGACCAACTGGTATTGCTCCCATGGGGCCAATCTGTTGTGGTGTTATTTTCACAGGCTGAGCAGTGGCCACTGGGCCTGATGGTCCACTTGGACCCATAACTCCCATACTAGCTGACATCTGTGAAGCTTGTGCAGTGTAGCGTTGCTGCACACTTGTCTGATGGCCAGGCGAAGCTTGCTGTAGCTGAGTCAATTGTGTCTGCTGCATCATAGGAGGAGCTCCAGTCTGTGGAGGAGGCACAAGTGGACAGGATTGGGCAGCTTCAAAGCCCTGAGATGGACTTTGAGGAAAGTGTTGGCCTGTAATACCCATACTGGGTGGCATCTGTTGTTGCACTGGGTGGGTGTAGCCCTGGACAGCCTGTTGAGATGCTGTTTGGGGTGCAACAAAGCCCGGCTGCTGGGACATTTGCAACGAAGGTCCAACAGCTTGTGGTGACTGTGACTTCGATACCGCTACCTCTGAAAAACCAGGCACGGGACTGCCGTGTTGGCTCGAAGGTGAGGTAGTCGTCTGCTGCTGGGCCGGTGGACCCATTTGATTGCTTGGTGGTGGCATCGGTGATGACTGCGGCGAGGGGTCTGACATGTTTTACGTCGGAGTGTGATTATAATCACACGCTCTTTTCCTCACTCATTCCATCACACCGAAATACACAGCGAATTATAAAAACTTTGGCTCGCATACGTCTGACTTTGTCGTCACGGTCGGACACTCAATTTGTCTTTTTTTCATTGAACTTTTGCAGCACTGCTGGTATACCATAACCATACATAAATTAACATACATGAATACTACGAACCATGAATATATGATGGCGTGTGTTGTGGTTACACCACGTTATATTACACACTGCCTGGCACTGGCAGAGAGAATCAGAGAATTAGAACTCGCGAAGATTGTCAGAGTCGGACGAAGGCACCGTGTATGTGATCGCACACCCACATGCGAAGACTGCAAAGTGCAAAGCTGCAAAGTAAACCGTTTCCCGCTCACGTTGAGTTTTGATTTTTTGTTACTTATCAAACTTATATATCACCTACTGCTTTACTGCCTTAATTAACACATAAATATTTCGAATTTTACTCTTTGCCTGACTGCAAGCAGGCAAAAAATAATAGCAAGTCTGCAACCAATGCCACCGACACATCAACGATTAACCATAAAGTTCACAGCAACAAAAGTCACATATATATTGCTAAGTGTATGTGTGTGTGTGTGTGTGTGTGTGTGTGTGTAACTTGATAGTGTAAGGGTGCATTTTCACGGGACGACGGAATCGCTCGAAAACTTCGTTTCCAATGACGTCCCTACAGCGCGGAATTTGAATTTCAAGCTCTGTAACCCATTGTTTCAAAAATGACTATCGTAACCCTAAAATGATCTTTTCCGCACTCGGGTGGTTTTGGGAGGCTGGTACTTCCTCGGGCGAAAAAACAGTTTTCCGCCCTCGGGTGGTTTTGGGAGGCTGGTACTTCCTCGGGCGAAAAAGCAGTTTTCCGGAACTCGTTCGAAAAGTCTCCTTTACGAACCTCGTTACGTCCCTCGCCTTCGGCTCGGGCCGTAAAGAAAATTTTTTATAGAAGTCAATTATTTCATATTGCTGAAGAATAAAAATTTTCCTTACACAAATAAATGAAAACTAAATTGCTTACAGCGATGTTATCGTAGCACATAGCAAAAAATTTACTCTTTTTAATAAACAAGAAAATAATTAAATCTTTAGCGAGAAGAGCTTAAAAGGTAAAAAAAAAAAAAACGATGGTTATTTAGTATTGGTAGGTGAATGTAAAAAGAAGGATAAGACTATATTGTCCTTGGACTTTACATTAATTAGAATCAAACAAGGCTCTTTGTCTTTCCTTTTCATCCGCTGATAATTGTTACCGAAAAATTGTTTTCGTGCGGAATCACCATTTTAAGGCAACATACATAAGTAAACTTTTTTGTTATATATTTTGGCTATTGTTGCTATTATTCTACTGCTAACCCTCACGAATATAATATTCGCCCTACTAGAAATTTTCCTCGAAAAGTATCCCGGAAAATTAAAATACGCCTCACGCGTATTTCAACTTTTATGCACACTTAGCAGACTATATTATTAGGTTTAGTTTAGATTTAAAAAATACTCGAATCATTTTTCTTATGGTCACGCTAAATCAATATTATGTTTTCATTTGATAGTTTATAACTGCTTCAAATCTCAAATTCACAGCTCTTTTTTTTGCAACAATTGCAACTGGCGTACGTGCAGCAGCAGTCGACTAGAGGGTGGAGCCGGTGAAGGATCGTGTAGTACTACTGTCGTATACATATTGGTCGTCGGCCAGTGTACATAAAATGATTTTTGATTAACGAAAGTCATGTGAATCAATGAAACCCAAAAATTATGTTCATATTAATTTAATAGTTACACTTTTTAATTACATATAAGCATCTTATAGAAAATTATACATAAAATAATTACATAAAAATCTATTACATAAAAAATCGCTTTATATTCATATAAAGGAAGTGGAGGATAAAGGTCTGCAAAAAACAACAAAAGAATGTATTTAGTACGATCTATCTCATTTACTGTATATAATTATTATTATACACAATTACCATTTTCTGTGAAAGTTCTTGATTACAGACAAAATTAGAAATAGGACAATAGAAGGAAATTCAAGTCTAGAGTTTTTTTTTTTTCACTATAAGTGTACCTAAAATTAAAAAAATGTCTATAAACTTCCTACATTTGTATGCTTTCTTTTGTTTAAAAAATTGATTTAGCTTCATTTTTGTTTGTTTATCGACTCTCGGTGTCTCTTTTAAAACTCATGAACCATATTTACTTTACTTATAAGAAAAAATTTATCGAAATATAATTTAAAACCTTACAGATTTCTAAAGCTTATATACACTCAATGATCATCAGCATCGTCGTCGTCGTCTGAAATACACTTTTTACTGATTCTCTTTCTTCGACCGCCCCGGCCGCCACCCTCGCTCTTCCTGCCCTTTAGTTTGATCTTCATCCTGACGTTGGACTCGGCATCGGAGCCATCCTCATCCTTATTGTCGTCAGAGCCTGTGCCCTCGGCCTCGACCTTCTTTCGGGCGTTCGTGAACACAGACTGCAGGACGATCGAGTTCTCGTGGATAAGCGACGCTTCCTCGTTATAGATTTGTGCGTTTTTACAGAGCTGCATAAAGTCTTTTTCGAGCTCGTCAAGGTCCGTATACTTGCCCTCTTCGATCTTCTGGATGAGCTTGTTGATGGCCAGCGGCTTCTTTATAATATCGTAATAGTCTGGGAACTCGCGGCGCGACGGAAGCTCCATAAAGGGCTCGCTGAGCGCTCGACCGTCACTACTATCCGTGTAGTTCACCACGCAGGAGATGATTTTTTTCATACTCCTCTTTAACTTAGGACTGATGCCTGAGCCACCTCTCCTCTTCTTTACAACGGGCTCCTCGTCCTCGTCACCCTTCTTTCTCCTTTTTCTCGTCTGTTTTTTCTTTTTATCGTCCTCCTCCTCTTCTTCGAATTCTACGCCATCATCACCAATAGCTCTCAATAATTCTTTTTCCGTGAGACTATTGGTGTAGTCGACTTCTTTACGCTGCCTCGAGCCTCGACCTAAGATTTTGTCTTCTTCCTCGTCGTAACAACATTTTTCTACTTCGTCGTCGTTTTTCACTAACCATTCAGGCAGTTCAGACTCTTCCAACAAACGGCCCTTGCGAGCTGGGCCCATTTTGGCTTCGTCTCGTCTTCTTTCCAGGTCCATTTTCTGAAACGATTCGAATTCAGTTTCACTTCTAGCAATCATGTGATTGACCGTCTCGTCATCCGGAACTTCGTTTTCCTCCTCGTCGTCTGCATCATCTTGATGCAATATGCTTTGGAGGAACTGCTGTCTCTCCGAGCCCGTTGACTTTTGGTCAAACATACCAGCTTGAATGACCTTCTCGTCCATGTTGAGCTTGTACCTGGCGGCAGCCAAGATTCGCTCCTCCACAGAGTTTACGGTCATCAGTCGCAGTACTCTTACTTCGTTTTTCTGTCCAATACGGTGAGCTCGATCCTGCGCTTGCAAATCTTGGTGGGGATTCCAGTCGGAGTCAAAAATAATTACAGTATCTGCCGCCTGGAGATTCAAACCAAGACCGCCAGCTCGCGTCGACAAAATAAACAGAAAGAACTCGGAGCCTGGGTCGTTAAACTTTTTCAACAGATCACCCCGATCTTCAGCTTTGGTTGTTCCATCTAATCTTAAATACAGGAATCCGCGCCAATTCAGATAGTCCTCCATTATCGTCATTAGCTGCGTCATTTGACAGAACAATAGTACCCTATGAGACGTGGCTTTCAGCTTGGGTAAAATTCGATCCAGCAATTCGAATTTGCCAGACGCGCGGTACAAGAGAGGCCCGGTTATCACACCACTTCCCTGAATACCTAAATACTCACAGTATTTTTCTTCAATGTGGTGGAACATGAAGGGATGATTGCAAAGCTTTCGGAGCTGCACAATAGTGTTCATGAGAGCTTTCGCACCTCCCTTGCCGCGTTTACCTTTTTCCGAGCCGTCAGTTAATAACACACCTTTACTCTGCATGTGCTTGTAGAGCACCTTTTGCAGACCCGACATATCACATTTAATAATATACTCTACTTTATCAGGCAGCTGAGACTCAACTTCCTTCTTGAGGCGTCTCAGCAAGAAAGGACGCAAAACTTTATGCAAACGGCGAATAATAAGAATCGTTTCTTCTTCGTTAAGTTCAACTTTCTCACCGGTAGTGGCGAAAGGCGCGTTAAACCACTGTTCGAACGTACTACAGGATTTGAAGATAGACGGGAGCAAGAAATTTAATAAAGCCCACAACTCGGGAAGCTTATTTTGCAAGGGCGTACCGGTAAGCAACAAACGATGAGGCGCGATATAATGAGTGTTCAACACGTGGGTTAATTTACAATGATGATTTTTCATTCTGTGACCCTCGTCAATGATCATGTACTTCCACTGGAGCTTAGCTAAGACACTTTTGTCTTTGATTATGTATTCGTACGTGGTTAATAAAACGTTAAACTTGGTGGCACGCATTTGCGACTGTATTGTTCGCCTACCGGCCGGAGATCCTTTGTACGAAACAACGACGACGCTAGGCGCCCACTTTTCGAATTCAAGTATCCAATTCGAGAGCGTCGACAGAGGAACAATGATGAGGAAAGGTCCGTTCACTTTCTTCTTTTCCATGAGGTACGTGATCAGGGCTATCGTCTGGATGGTTTTACCGAGACCCATCTCGTCTGCCAAAATACCATTGAGGTTGTTATTGAACAACGACACCATCCACTCTAAGCCTTTGACTTGATATTCTTTTAGCAGACCATTTACCATGATAGATGCCTGCTCCGTGACGCTCTCATGTACGGTATGAGCGATACTATAATACGTCTGCTCTTCAGTCTTGTACTCGTCGTCCTCTACCTTGGTCTTCTGTATGGTCTTTTTATGCTTAAACTCTTCTACGTATGATCTATCGTTTTCGTTTCCGTTTTCATTCTCTTGGCCATTTTCGTCTTCGTCATCGTCGTCCTCTTCACTGTCAGTCTCTACAGCCTCCCAGCCCGGATGCGATTCGAGAAATGCATTCAGTTGGCTCAGGAACGGAGCTTCGTCACCACTTAAAGTACGACCAGTAGCGGTCTCCATCACCTCGACTCGGACATCTTCGCCGTCGAATCCCTCGCCATTCTCGCCTTCCATCGACAACCTCTTTTTTTTCTTCTTGCGCTTTTGTTCCTCGACTTGCTTCTTTTTTTGTTCCATCTTGTGCTGTTTGACCATCTCTGTGAGATTTCCAATATACTCATCAGTTTGAGATAGAAGGAAAGCAAGACGTTTATCTTTCTTTTGATCGATGAGCTTTCTGTAACCCTCCTCGTCCTCTGCCATGAGGCGTCGCATACGTTCTTTCTCTATCCTCTCCTGCTCCTTCTTTTGTTCTCTTTCGGCATTTACGTGATAATTCATTATGGCCTTGTTAAGCCTAGACAGCTTGGCAATATTGTTTCGATGAAACTCCTTGAGATCTTTACCATGCTGTAGCACCGACGACAGGAACTCTTGGTGCTTTTGCTTGCGCTTTCTTTCAGCTTCCAATTTTTGCTGCTTCTCAAGCTTCTCCGTGGCTCGTGATTCCCGCAGATCTTGACGTTTTACGCGCTTATAGGCCTTCAAGTTAACGCCAGTTTCCAGGGTCGTGTCTCGCCGAGTATTGGCCAGAATTTCCGATCTAAGCTGCCGTTGTAGATGCAGTACGCGCAACATGCGCAGCTCGATTTGCGCTTGGGTGCGCACCTCGTCGGACAAGTTGGGCGGCAAACTCTCAAGCTGCTGGATTCGCAAGGCGATTCTCTGCGCGACGCGAGTCTCTCGTTCATCCAGTATGCCAAGAGGATCGATGCCGACTGGCCTCGGCAGAGTTGTCACTCGATTCGTTTTGGCACCACTGGGCTGTGGTCCTTGCTGTTGAGGACTCGGCCCTTGTTGTTGAGGACCCTGCTGCGGAGGCGGTGGCATCTGGTTCGGCTGCGGACCAGCAGGACCCATCATTCGTGGCGGCCCAGCGAATCCCGGCGGCACGCCCATGACTGCATGTGGAGGTGGAGGTGGCGGTGGAGGCGGCCCGCCTGGTGGGCCAGCTGGGACCATGGGTCCAGCTTGCGTTGGATCAACCGGTCGCTGATTGATACCTTGCACGGCCATCATTTGCTGCGGGCTCAGCGGCTGGTTGCGTGATAGCGCACGATACGCCATTATTTGGGCGTGGAATTGTTGCAGCTGTTGCGGACTAAAGAGTTGATTTTCATTGCTGCCCTGTCTTGCTCTTAAAGCAAGAAGTTGCAAATAGCGAGGATCCTCCTGCAGTCCCTTCTTTTCCATTTGATTTATCACTTTTTGTATTGCATTTAAATTTTCTTGGCCTTGACCAGGTACAGGCGCCGGACCGGGCCCAGGTCCCGGACCAGGCATACTGCCAGGACTATTACCAGGCATACCAGGGCTAGACACAGGAGGGCCGTTCTGCGTGTTGGGACTGATATGCCCGGGGCCCATCGGACCTCCAGGAACGCCAGGTGCACCCATCGGCCCTCCAGGAACACCAGAACTCATGGGGCCACTAGAACCCATCGATCCACCAGGTCCAGTAGCATTCATAGATCCTCCAGGACCGATCGCATTCATGGGACTGCCCATTGTCCCCATTCCAGGACCTCCAGGAGGAACTGAGGCACCCATAGGACCCGTTGAACCCATTTGACCTGTGGCGCCCATTGGACCACTAGCACCCATTGGTCCTGCTGCATTCATAGGACCACCGGGACCTCCCGTGTTCATAGGACCAGCAGGAACTCCCGCGTTCATAGGACCAGGCCCTCCAGAACTCATTGGGCCACTGACACCGCTAGCACCCATCGGACCTCCTGGGACACCAGCACTCATTGGACTACCAGGGACTGAACTGCCCGAGCCGACCGACATTTGTTGGTTTCCTGAAAATATTACACATTACGTTTCAACCAATGTGAGAATACGTGCAGTGACGTAATCGCTAGGAAGAAGATATGAAAATATAGCCAATGTAAACCATTGGCGTTTAAAAAAAAAAAAAAAAAAAAAAAAAAAAAACCCATACTTTGTGGTCCTTGATGCGGCCCTGCATGTGAACCTTGGTGCGGACTTTGGTGCGGCCCATGGTAAGGACTCTGATGTGGCCCTGAGTGTGGACTTTGATGTGGTACTTGCGGAGGTCCCGAGTGTGGACTTTGATGTGGTCCTTGGGGAGGTCCTCCTGGGTGTGGGCTTTGATGTGGTCCTTGAGGAGGTCCTGGATGCGGGCTTTGATGTTGTTCTTGTGTAGGTCCTGGATGCGGGCTTTGATGTGGTTCTTGGGAAGGCCCTACATGCGGACTTTGATGCGGTCCTTGTGGAAGACCTTGATAAGGACTCTGATGTGGCCCTTGTGGAGGTCCTGGATGCGGGCTTTGATGTGGTGGACCTTGTGGAGCTCCAGGTTGCGGGCTTTGATGTGGACTTTGATGTGGGCTTTGATGAGGACCTTGGTGAGGACTCTGGTGTGGACCCTGATGATGTTGACTTTGATGATGTGGACTTTGATGTGATCCTTGATGTGGTCCTGGGTGTGGACCTTGGTGCGGACTTTGGTGTGGTCCTTGATGTGGTCCTGGGTGCGGACCTTGGTGTGGGCTTTGATGAGGTACTTGATGATGTTGACTCTGATGATGTGGACTTTGATGTGATCCTTGATGTGGCCCTGGATGTGGACCTTGGTGCGGGCTTTGGTGAGGTCCTTGATGATTTCCTAAAAATATTACACGTTATATTTCAACAAATGTAGGAAATCATCAAAGAGTGACTAAGCTTGAAAAAAATATGTTAAAAAAAAAGTGGCTAAAGTTATTCAGAATACTACTAGTCTTGCCTGTAAGGTACATCTGACTACTACTAGGTGTTAGAGCAAAAAGTGTTATTTCAATCATAGGATCTCATTTCAATATTCTTTCGGTTTAACGTTATGTATGAAATAAGTTTTATGTTATATAAAAAATAATTCTGCATTATGCAGTAAAACAAAACGTCCAAATTGAAAAAGTTGTAATTTATCAAAATTTGCAACTTTGTTTACCATGCATATGCATACCATAGAATCCAATTAGAACACACACATGAAAAATTTAAGAGTTGTTTAACATAAAAAATGGGTGATTTGTGAATGGTCACACAATTTGCTCTTTTGAAAATAATAAGGCACTCCCATGAATTTGTCGCGCCTAAAAACATACCCATACTTTGTGATCCTTGATGAGGCCCTGCATGTGGACCTTGGTGAGGGCTTTGGTGGGGTCCTTGATAAGGACCTTGGTGCGGGCTTTGGTGAGGTCCTTGATGCGGCGGTTGATGAGACTGTGGATGATGAGATTGCGGGTGATGAGGAACTTGATGCGACGGGTGCTGGGTAAGGTAACTCCCTTGCTGAGGCACTCCTTGCATTTGAGAAGACTGGACATTTTCATATCCCGGTGAAGGACTGTGAGGATGATGCTGTGGCGGCATGTTTGGTGGCATTTGTTGGGGATGAGGATAATTCTGTGGTGGTTGTTGATGAGGCTGTGGTGGTGGAGGACCATATCCTTGAGGTGGTTGCCCTATGAAACAATGTTTTGTTGAAAGTTAATGATATATAATTGCATGCTTGTATTGTTAAAAAAATGATTGAAACTCCATAAATTCTAATGTTTGAATGTATTTTCAACGACTGTACGATTTTCCTTGTTAGTATAGCCTTTACATGAAACATGACACAGATAATGATGGCATTTCAATGATTTTAGCTTAAAAAGCAGCTTTGAGAATAGGCAAAAAATTTACTAACCAGGATGCTGTGGAGGAAACATGGGTGGTGGTGGAGGAGTCTGCTGAGACATGGGCTGCTGCTGGGGTGGTGGGCCCTCCTGATAGCCAGGCGCCGGACTATGAGGATGATTGGATGGCGAGGGCGCCTGCTGGGGCGGACCCATCTGGTTGGGTGGTACCTGCGGTGGCGGCATTGGTGAAGGCTGGTGTACTCCTCCTCCTCCTCCACGGCCCGACGAGGACCGTTTTGGCTTTTTGCCACCGCTACTGGCACCAGTGCCAGCCTGTGCAGCGGCGTCGAGGCTCACAGCGGCACCGACGACGCCAGCAGCGGCTGTAGCAGTGGCAGCATCCCTGCAAGGAGGAGGCGCACCTTTGTACGTAGCGCGGGCCTGTAGCTGCGTTTTACTCACTTTTCGGCTCATTAACGCTAAGACGGCTAGCTAGCTATAGCTGTTTGTCTGTCTGTCTAGATGACCGGCTAGTTAGCTGGTCCTATTAGTAAGCGCGACAAAACAACAACAACGACGACAACGACGAAGACGACGGCTTCATCGACGGTAATAGCGATAGCTTTTTCACGTCACCGGCTAGCTGAAACATTAGCGGTTGTATCACTGTGCTCCATTTGAAGGAAGCCCGTGCGCGCATTATTTTTGTCGCGGTCAGCAGTAGCAGCAGAAGCAGTAGTAGCACTGGGGCGCCGAGCTCGCGATCCATAGATGATGATGATCAGCTCAGCAGCGGAGGCGGCTCGCACACGCTCTCCATGCACACTACTCACTACCACCAATACCACTACTACCAAGTAATCTCGTTCAGTGAACAGTCCATGGGCAACGTTCACGTTCACGTTGGTTTTTCTTCACTACTGCTCCCGGCGTCCTAGCTCCTCGAGGGATTCTTACCCTCTCGATCTTCGTATGTATTTACAATGATAGATGATCTCTTTCTTTTTTCCTCTTGCCAGTATAGTATGTGTGATATATCTACATTTTACATAACCTTAATTCCCCACTGGCGACGAGGCCTTCATCTACCCGAAGCTGTGCTCATCTTTAGCTAACTTTCATCTGAAGCTCCGTGTGATTGTGTGCGCGTATGTATCCTCGCACACCGACGGTCGTCGTCAATCGACTACAACACAGCCACTATAACTATATATACAGTACATACATATCAAAAAACATAGCCGCTGCCGCGCGAACCCTCTGTATATATAAAAAAATATATATATATATATAATACAAGCACACAGAAACACACTGCTCCGTTTTGCAGCAGTTAACTTTCCTCGGTGATGTTTTTTTCGTTCCCCGGAGGACACAGCGTTTCAACAACAGCTCGAGTCCTGCTGCCTTCTTGGAATGCACTCAACAAACAGAGGAACCTAGCCTACGCTTTATGGCCCCAGAGAAAAGACAGAGAGGATATATTGAAAGGAGAGAGAAAAATATGTGCCAGCGCCCAGGGCCCAGAGAGAGACTTCCTTCTATACTGCTCCTCCTTCCCTTTTATTTCGGAGCAGCACGCGCTTCGGCTCTTTATATGTTAAACTTGTGTGGGGTACTTTACTTTGCGCTTTCTTTCGTTACGAGAGCGACGAGAGAGTATCCCTTGCACGAATAGCCCCGAATCAATTATCGCTTTTCCTCGTTCGCAGTTTCGCACTGTGAAATCAATCCAAAGTCGGTTTCGAACGAACGGCTCGGCTCTCGGTTCGCTGGATGCACTGCCATCAAGCGATCGAGTTTATGGGCAAGCGAGGGGTACCCAAAGGCAGGGGGGGGAGGGAGGGCTGAGCGGAACGCCGCGTCGCCGCCTACTACTAACTCCTCTCCTCTGCGCGCTGGCTGTTGTGGCGCAGAGTTTCCCTTCTCGAAGCTGTGCCTGCTTCGTGGACGACGAGGACGACGGCGCGCTGACGCTAAAAAATATAATATATATACCTATACCTGTATGTGCGATGAGGGGAGGTTGCTTTGCTTTGCGCCAAATGGCCTTATGGCTTATGACAGTCAAAAAAAAAAAAAAGCAACACTTTCACACACAGTTGGCGATAAATATTAGCTGGTATATATCTGTGTCTATGAAAACATAGAAAAATACGTGGACATTCAAACAAATGTTTTCCCGTGTATTTTATACGTCATTATCAAATTTTTCAATAGACCTCTTTTATGCCCCCCCCCCCCTTTTGCAGGGGTGTGTGCTACACTACCGACAGTACCGCTAAGGATGTGGGCGCTCGCGCGCGTTTTAACCTCCAAAACTAAACTTTACTAAACTGTAAACTCCAAAAAAACTTAACTGCGCACGAAGTGTATATACAGATATATAATATTGTGTGTATATCCTAAAAAGCTTATTCCCATCGCGAATGCATAGACTTATTATGCAACAGCTTTTTTTTTAAAGCGCCGACGAGCGACGACCTTTTGGTGAGAGAGACCGGTGACGACGAAAACGACGACCTCGGGTCCGAGGAACCTCTCGAGCGCTATACAAGAGAATTAAAACAGGTTCGATTCGAGCTTTGCAATTTTGCAAACGCGCGTGTTCTGTATACTTATTTTGTTCTGCTTGATTTGCCGTCTTTCGTGTCTTGTGTAATTTTTGATATTTCCTTCGAAAAAATATTTGATTATTTTTGTTAGTAGTCTCTTTAGTCTCTTATGCGTGCTAAGGATGTGTGTGTGTAGACTATCATAGTGTTACACGTTAATTTTAGCTGAAGCTCCAATAGTGTCAAGTGTCATTGACAGAAATGGGCTTACATTGGTGACTGTTAATAATTATGCAACCTTTATAAATAACTTATAAACATTAAGGATCAGTGGCGTTATTTCTGCTAACGAAAAATTTAATGATGAACTTTAATTTACGCGCATCTGTCGATAGGCAATTTTAGAATGACTAACTCTACCTGTCTAATGAATCATACATTTTAGGATTTACGTGTAATAATTATGCAATATTTTCAGGATGACATTCACGGGCCGTTAAGCGTTGCTGCCTGGAAAAATTATCATGATACTTTCCTTATCATCTAAATTCAGTCGAAAACTGTCATGCTTGCCCCCATCGAAAATTGTTGCTGTCACAGTGAGTAACTTGAAAAGGGTGAAAAAATTTCTGTTAGCACAATAATTTTTCTTGTTCATTATTTCTGTTTCAGTATTCCACCAGCTCGACACAGACAAAACAAAAGATCCAGAACTCAGAATACAGAGAACCACCATGCATAACAATAGGAAAAGATTTCAAACCACCTACCTTTGTCCTAAATTCAAAGTTTGTGGTACCTCCTGATATAACCTACCCAAGTCTGGAAGATAAACAAAGTACTGATCAACCAGATAAAGAGAATGAAACCAAGACTATAAAACTTTGGAAACTGGGAAACATAGAACTCGATCCTACGAAGCTCCATAAGTATTGTCTTATGTTGTCAAAAATAAGATTGACATGTAAGTATAGTCACACATCAGCATCACACAAATCATTACTAATTTTTTTTTTTTTCATTTAGCTCTAGTCGTTATTACCGCTATGGGTGGTTACACACTTGCTCCAGGGCCATTTGATATTACAACATTTTTGGCATGTTCAGTTGGTACAGGGTTAGTTTCAGCAGCTGCTAATGCTGTCAATCAATCCATGGAAGTTCCTTTTGATGCTCAAATGGCACGAACAAAAAATCGAGTTCTTGTCCGCGGTTTGCTCGCGTAAGTAACTCGCGGTAATAAATGTGTTTTCTTAATTAATAATATACTAAATTTTTATTAAGTCCGGAACACGCGATGTGGTTTGCGGCATTATCTGGTGCTATTGGAGTAACTCTTTTAGCATATCAAGTCAATACTTTAACAGCTATTTTAGCAGGTGCTAATTTAGTACTGTACACATCGATTTACACACCTCTCAAAAGAGTCAGTATACTAAACACATGGGTTGGCTCGATTGGTAAGTTCAATGTTTCATATAAACACGTTTTTTAGGGCATCTTTCACTACAAAAAATCTATGATTTAAAAATCCTCGTATGTTTGCAGTTGGAGCAGTTCCACCTCTAATAGGTTGGGCAGGCTGTATCGGCACTATAACGGTACCTGGTGCTTGGATAATGCCCGGCATGCTGTATGCATGGCAATTTCCACATTTTAATGCCTTGTCATGGAATTTGAAACCAGATTATTCAAAAGCTGGCTATAGAATGATGGCTGTTAGTAATCCCGATCTGTGTCGCAGGACATCTTTAAGATATACCATAGTACTCACAGCACTTTCTTACCTAGCACCAGTTTTGGACGTAACAAATTGGTGGTTTGCACTGGCATCAACGCCTTTGAATGCCTATTTTCTGTATCTTGGTTAGTATCGTTGATGAATTTGAAGTTGATTTCTGATTTTCAACTGGTTTTTTTCTGTAAAATTTCATTGTTTTTCAGCATGGGAGTTCAAAAAGCAGGGTGATGCACGAACGTCGCGAAAATTGTTTCGATTTTCATTGATACATCTGCCAATTTTAATGACCATGATGCTCGTTTGTAAAAAAAAATGGTTCACCAATACAGATAAGAAGGATAAATCGCAAACAACTGAATTAAAGGAAAAAAGGAACCTTATTGAAGCAATAACAAGCGTGATTCAGCCGACATCTGCTTAATTCGACTTAGCCTATAGTGCAAATCTTTAATGCAATGTTTCATTGATATTTGTACATTTGTAAAAAGACAAACCCGAATGATTTTGTAAACTAATAAACAAAATCTTGTATTATAAACGACGTATGATATTGATTGTGGTGATAATAAAAGAATCTATTAAGTTTAAAAACGATTTTACTTTGACAAACAAAATTTTTTTAAAACAAATTTGTTACAACAGTGATAAAAAAATTTGTGTGAAAACACGGTCAACAGTTACTGAGAAGTATAAAAATATCTCTTGTCAGCTTGTGTCTACTTGAGCTTCTTGTTTGCTATTTTTTCTTTGCAATGCAAATTCAATTGCCATTTTTCTTCGCGTCTTGGCCAAGTTTCTATGGCCCTTACAATCCAAGTTTTCGGTGAAACATTTATTTCGACAACACTGTCGACACAATTTGTATTCACACTTTGAACCCTGTAATTACAAATTTTTAAAAATTTGTTTAGGTGTTACTACAAAATGCTGATACTAAAAAAACTTACCAGTGGATTTGGACAATCTATGCACAAATTTGAGCCACGTTTCGTGTGAACTCCTGCTCTATTGGGTCTTCTAGCTATGCGTCGCAATTTTTTCATGTGCTTTCGAGAAATTTCTCTACCTTCGTTATCCTTATATTCTCTCTTCACAGCCGTAGTTTCCTGAATAAAAACAAAATGACTTTTATAAATAAAAGAAAAAATCTTTCATAACAAAAATCGTAAGATTCATCCAACCGTTTCATTCCGTCTTGCCTCTACTTTGTTGACATGTTCTTCCGGACTATCTCTCACGTAAGGTTGACACAACCAAGGTGGAAGTGTCAGATCGTAGACTAAAATATTAACGCCAATTATTAGAGAAATATAAAAAAAAGTGTCCGAATGTTGCGTGATATAAACAACACGTATGTACGTACCTTCTTTTTCTCGGTGCCAAATTTTTCGACCCTCGTGATACGGCAAATACCTATCTCTCAAAGATAGTACGACATTTCGAAACGATTCCATCGTCGAGTTTTGCGCGAGATCTCTCCTTTCCTCTTCGTTCTCTGTTAAAAGAAACCTACTCTCTGGTTAAAAGCGTGACACACATTTGCCTAAACTTCGAGATTTTAATATACAAATGTCGACACCGCTCCGTTGAAATGAATATTATCATGATTCATTTGAACCGAGGGCCGCTTACAGTAGACTGAAACCTACAGGTGCTGAAGTAATTTGAACAGATGTCCACGGATGTACGACGACGGGGCTGGGTGTTCCTCCAAAATGTCCAGATACTCCAAAGCTGGTTCCCAACACGGTGGATTGATTCCTTCGAAGATGCACGGATTGTACAGATTGCCCTCGGCAGACATGACTCCTTGCACCCCGGTTTCTTCGAGACATCGCTCTACGTCCTGGACGCACTGTATGTTGCCGTTCGCAAAGACCGGCACTTTAACCGCTTCTCTGAAAAATGTAAATCATTATCTTTTGGTCTTGAGAGCGCACCTACGGACGTTCGTCCTCACCTGACAGCGCGAATGTGCTCCCAAGACGCCAACCCCGTCAGTGGTCCCTTTTGTTCCCTGGTCCGGCCGTGCACCGTTAGCACGCTAGCCCCGGATTCTTCCAGCATTTTGGCGTACTCTACCGTCTTTTTGATTTCAGGAAAGACTCGCAGCTTGCACGTCACGGGAATCCGAAGTCCTCTGCTCATGTTTGAAACTAGAATCAAAGGTTTGACCATTTTTTTTTTTTTTTTTTTTTTTTTTTCCAACTGTTTGTAAATTTTTAATCTCGCTCACCGATGTTTCTCAAAAGGTCCCATTCGTCCTGCAGAAAAGCCCCGTATCTGCCTCTTTTTGCGATGGCTTGGGGACAGCCGATGTTTATGTCGACGGCGTCACAGAAAGGCTCGGCCAACTGAGCCGCCTTCAGCAAGACTTCCGGATCGTTTCCGCAAAACTGAAGATACAGGGAAACAAATACATACAATTTATGATCAGAGCAAACGTTATAAACTATATTCAGTAGCAAACATTTTCTAACGTTATTTTTTTTTACTTAAAGCATTTAATTTACTTCTTCCTGTAGATAACACACTACTTCCATGTTATGGACGGAAATTAAAAAAAAAAAAAAAAAAAAGAAAGAAAGAGAGAAAATCACTCACTTGCACCACGAGCGGCCGATCCTCGGGTTTGCTCGCAAGTGCTTCGGCCCGGTACTTTGGATCCCTGCAGAAGACCGAGGAGTGGAGCATCGGCGTGTAGCACAGTTGGGCGCCGTGTCTTCGGCTCAACAGTCTCCAGGCTAGTTCGCTCGCGTCCACCATCGGTGCTACGATGTAACGAGGCGAGCCCAGCACCGCTCGCCACACGTTCACCTCTTCCTTCTCCTCGACCGACATTTTCCCTCCTTTGTACGTTTTTTTTCTTTTATTTTCTAAAATGGCAAATGCAACTTGTTTTTTATTGGGGCATACAAGTCTCTCGTGGCTTTCATTAACTATTTATATTTCGTCGAGGAAAATAATACAGTTTTTCAATGTTTTGTGCAAGGAAACAAGTCAGAGTCGACATGACGACTGGTAGTGTACATGATCCGCACTGTACATCGGTGGTAATATTTTTATGATAAATTGTAAAATTAATTTCTGAGAAAAAAAAAAAAAAAATTGCTGTAACAGGCATCGATATAACGGAGAAATTCAACGAAAATGTTGAAAAAATAATTAATGGAAGGTAAAGTATAATAGGGACTAGCAACAATAAATACATAATGCCAATTTTTTTTTGTTTTTTTGTTCGAGCTTTATTTCAAGTAATTAAGGAACAATAAAATCGTGTATAAATATAAAATTATTTAAAGTATCTTGCCTGTATCACATGGAAAACGTGTTTAATATGTACCGTTCGTTTTTTTTTGTTTTTTTTTTTTCAATCACTGCAGTGACATTATTTTCAATCGGATTCATGTACATCGTATTCTTGCGACTTGCGACGAGACTCAAGACTGTATGTCAACTGTTTTTTTTTTTTTTTTTTTTTTTTTCGTACATTGTAAAAACGAACACTGCGCTTTGTAGGACCAGATTTACATTTTTTCAAAACATTTTTCGTTTCTGCATTCTTGTTCAGTCTTGATTTTAGCAAAAAAATTAAGGCTTAAGGACGGGAATAAATTGTAAGAGCGTTAGAAAAAAAAAAAAATACACACCCAATGACATTTTCTTTTTCAAACAATTATACAGCAAGCTCACATTATTTTTTTCTTACGCCACTCGCAAGTATGCTTATTTTTAAATTATTTTGGTAGAAAAGCTCTGCGAATATATTACGTTTTTATTCAAAATAGACGTCTAAATTTTTGTTTTCACTCGTGCAGTTTCACGTGAGTTGCGCGCTATACATTTAGTTTTTTTTTTTTTTTTTTTCAACGGCACGTTCAGTCACTCATTTATCGCAATACATCGTGATCACACAATACTGATTGTGAAGATGAGAAAACAATGTTTCGTTTGTTGATTTTTATGACACGACCCGTGTGATGCTAGGTCAAGCGAAACATGGAGAAAAACGTTTTTGTGAAATTATTCACCAATATAATATGTAAAATATTATTCTCAACGTGATAATAAAAACATAACAGATTGTCGTCGACATGAAAAATATCAAGTAACATTATAAATAAGTGTGTTGAAGAGATTATTTCGTTTAAAAGCAATAGTGTGACTTTCCTTACTACCGTCTAAAATTTGAATTTCTATAATATTTTAAAATACTACCAAACGCATCCTAAATAATCGAACCAGAGAATTTTTAATCGTCAATTTCCTTGAACCGAATTTTCGAATGTAAGTATAGAAGAATTCGTAGTAAAGTTATTCGTAAACTATTTTTTTAATTGGCACGCGAGAAGATTATTTATAAATATTAGGAAATATTCAATTAATAGTTCTAATTTCAAAATCCTATGTATACATTTGTTTTAAAATTTTAGAATGGTAACGTTTTTCAAGTTAACGATCTCTACGTTAAATATATTATATAATTGAGTTAGTTTTTGTTAAAAATTTCATCAGTCAAAATGTGATAAATAACTTTTCGAACAATGATGCTTTTTTTTTTTTTATGGATGTAAAACCTTGTATTCGATATCGATTAGATGAATTCAACAAGAGTAACAAGTTACACAAGTAGTCAACAATACGTTTTTTGGCGAATAAAAAAAATATATGTAATAAATGTCAAGTACACAAGAATGAGCGGATCATCAAACGTTTTAAAAAAATATCTGCAACAAGTTTTATTCGTACAATATACGTAGATATAGGGATACTTGTCTCATCTCTAATTATGATTATTCGAAGTAACGCATGAAACTGCAATTAGTTGTAACGCATGCTATATATATATATATTCTTTTTATGGATCGATTTTTCATCTACAGTTGTGTACAACTACATACTATATACGTAATTACTGCGTCATCGCGAATAAGTATGAAAAAGTATTAAAATTCTATTTTCCTCGGCATGTATACAATGTAAAAGCCCGAGTCTTGCCCGGCAAAATTGACGATTAAAAACTCTCTTGTTTACCGATACAATGTATAATAATGTGTATACGTTAAGTACCTCCTACTTGCAAAGTTCATCACTCTGACACATGGGTAGGGTACAAGTATACTTGAAAGGGGAGAAAAAAAAACGGGAGGGAGATGACGCGACGTGCTTATGCTTCGCGTAAGCGCATACAAGTACTTATCTTTGAGTATCTCGAGTGTGCACTCGGTATATGAGATAATCACAAAAACACGGCGCGTGGCATCAGTAGCCGCGCCCTTGAAAACCCGTACAGCTACAAAGGGAGGAGTGGCAGATTAAGAGCTGCTCAAGGGGGGAAAGGTGAAGTGGCTGAGCGGCGGGGACCTCGGCGAGGCGGGCTTCGACAGCTCGGACTCGGGTATGGGCGAGAGCTGGGCCGACTGGGCGAGGTGCGGACCGACCTTGAACCTCGGCCTCTTGTGCCCGAGCGATGCCCTGCGCACCCTCAAGTGGTTGGCTTGGTTGCGCTTGGCAGCCAGACCCCCGACCAGAGCCGCGGGCTCAGCCAGCACGAGCTCCGTACTTCCGAGCCTGGGACGCGCCGGCAGCGACAGAGGCGGCAACCGCGACGGCACCTGCTGGTGCAACTGCTGGACCATGGGGAGCGGCGACAAGCGTTGGTGGTCGTCCCGGGGCTCGACGGTGATCGACCTCACGGACGGCGTCTCCTCGACCGGCGCCGGGGATGGATGGGGATTGACCCGGTTTTTGCGAGCCGTGCCGCAAGCTTCGGCGCTTATGGCGCGCTGGCGGGTGTTCTTGCGGAGCCGGGCGTGCTTGCGCAAGAACGTCTGGATGCGGCGCATCGTCGTGCAGGAGCGCCGAGCGCTGATGTTCCGGTCGGCGCTGCTGGCCACGCTGTTGGCGTCGACGAGGCCCTCGGCCTGGGCCTGGCGGAGCTTGCGCTGCTTGGCCTTGTCGGTGGCGGAGGGGGCTCCCATGAGGGAAAAGCAGCAGGACACGGGCGAGGGCGTCGACGGCTTCATCAGCTCGAGGGACGGACGCTCCGTGGATTGATGCTGGAGTTGGAGGCGCGGGTGGCCGTTGCCGTTGATCGCCGCCTGCTGCTGGCTCGAGGACGTCAGCTGTATCGAGGTCTCGTCGAAGCGCGAGTCGTACGAGAAGTAGAGGTGGAAGTTGCGCCGCTCCTTCTCGAGGTCGCTGCGCTGGATGGTGGTCGTCGTCGTCGTCGTTGTAGTTGTCGTCGTGGTGTTGTTGTCGTTGGGCACGCCGACCGGGCCGTTTTGGCTCTGGTGTTGGATTATCTGGGCCGTCGTAGTGCTCGATGTGTGGGTCGAGCATATGTAGATGTTGCGGGAGTCGGTGCGCGCCGCGGCCTCGGCAGGGTTGACGTTCTCACAGCAGTGGTAGCGCGGGGGTAGGCCGTGAAAGGGAGCCGCTCGATTGTTCGACTCGGACGTTTGGTTGTTGTTGTTGGGGGCGGCAGCGGCGTTGGTTTGCTGCAGCAGGGCGTTGTTCTGCCTGTTCTGCTTGTTGCGCACGTACTCGTAGGTCGTGACCCCGAGGAAGGCGATATAGCCGTGGAAGAAGCAGAGGTGAATGAGGAGGACGGCAGCGATGGCCGATAGGATGCCGACGATCGAGATGACGATGAGGGAGCCGGTGCCGGGTAGCGGCAAACTGATCGGCAACGTGACGTTGTCCATACCGATGTCGAAGTCGGTGGCGTTGTTGGCGTCAACGTCCGGTTGCAGCTGATGGCTGTCGCTGCTATTTTTGTTATTCGTGGTGTTGCTGGCTAGTAACTCGTGGTGGCGCACGAGGCAGCTGAGCTCAGCCGCGGATAGGCAGACGATCGTCAAGGCCCCGGCGATGGCCGAGACCAGGCAAACGATGAACGCTGCGTAGTTGCGGCCGCCCACGCAGTTGTTGAGCCACTTGCAGTGGTGGTCGAAACGGGTTATGCACTTGTTGCTTTCGTAAGTACAAAAAAGAAAAAAACATTCAATGAATTTCTTTTTTTTTTTTTTTTTTTTTTTTTATACAAAACACCAGTTCTATGTATACAAGCAGTTTGCAACGCGTTACTCAGCACACATTTGTATACATATATTTATTTACATGGTATGGTTTACATTGAAAAAAAAAAAAAATAAATAGTGCCAACCAGAGCGAGCAGTGCTTGGTGCGCGGACCCGAGGCGTTGATGTTGCACAGGTGGCAGCGTCCATTCTCGATGACGTGCAGGTGCTTGCTGCGGTCGAACTCGGGGACAGGTTTGCTGGCCGGTTGTTGGCGCACCGCCGGCTCAGCAGGATCGAGGAGTGCGGCCACGCAGTGCGAGACCAGGTGGACCAGGAGGGCTCCGAGCACGAAGCCGGCTACCTTTGACCGAAACTCGGGCGGCCCAAGGGGCGGAATCACAAAGGCAAAGGTCCCGAGGCAGATGGCCCCTATGCAGAGCCAGCCGAGCACCTGCTGGGGGTGCAGCGGCAACTGGAGACCGTTGATGCGCCGAAAACGTCGCTGCTCCGGTGGCCCGAGGGCCCCGACCTCCTGGAGCGAACAGTAGCGCGAGAGACGAGCGACCAACCGGTGCCGCAGAATCCTGGCGCCTGATACTGCTGTCGTTGTTGTTGCTGCTGTGGTGGCGGTGGCTTTGCTGCTGCTGAAGCGGCTTCCGCGGGTGCTCGCCTCTCGCATGCCGGAGGACGACACCCCTTGACATAGCGACGTACAGCTCGACCGAAGCTGCTACCGCTACGGCTGCCCTTCTTCCTGCTAGGACAACTGCTGACGGCCGCACCACCACCACCACCACCACCACCGCTGCCTTAATCTTGTACCTGTAGCCTCCGGCTCCGTTACTGCCGGTCCCCGATTTTTCGTCTGCGATCCTGCAAAGATAAAATGCTTTGTCTATTAATAAGTATATCCACAAAATAAGGTGATGGTATAATATATATATAGTAATTTGGCCATCTCGAGGGGTGCTCGTGTAAAACTTTGGGAAATCGTGCAACCGACGAGATCGAGAAGAACCAACCGATTTTTCTCCTTTCGAGCAAGAAGTATCAAGTGGAACGGCCCATGTTTTCGCGGTACAGTGGCGTGGAACTCGAAACACGATGTGGTAAAAAGAAAGTACAAGCCGAAGGATCGCGAGTGGCCGCTTCCGTCACGCGTATCGGTGTAAGTGGAACGGGGAGGAGGATAAAGGAGTAGGCCCATATGAAGTCGAAACAATACACCTGTACGCGTAAATTGTGGATGATTAAATATGTAGTCCCATTTGTGAAATCGATGCAACAACCGTACAGGTGTGTAGGTACTACTGGCGCGCGTGTCACATACAATATTCAAGACTGTAAGTACATGCTAGACACGGGGTAAAATAGTATACGGCGCGGTCATTAGAACAAGAAGCATCATCGCCTACTTTTTTTTCATTTCCTTTTTTTTTTTTTTCATATATACGTATCACACGAATTCGGAGCAACGGTGCCCGATGTTTTTACCACCCCCTCGAGAGGCTACACCATCAGCTCCTCTGTGTGTACACACTGACACCCTCCACTTCAACTCCAAAAGGAAAAAAAGAGGAAGAGGAAGAAAACAAAAAGATAGGTAAAGTGGTGCTTACGAAGAGACAAAAAAAAAAAAAAAAAGAATAGTCCACTTACCAGGAGCACCTTCTTTGAGTAGCATCTGCAGTGCTTTGTGCGTCCGAGTCCCCTACGCTGCCGCGCTGAACTGCACCACCGGCTTCTCACCATAACAACAACAACAACAAGACCAACAACGGCAGCAGCACAACATAAACACTCTCGGCATCATCCTCGTTACTTTCGATGGCAAACTAAAAAGCATCGGGCGTCGAACGAAAGAATCCCCCGAGAAAAACCTGTACGTCTCTCGCGGAGGCTCATCGTTGTTGGTTGATGTGCGTCATTGCATATCCACGCCCCTTCGACGCGTCCCATCATCGGTACTACAGTCCACCTCCTCCTCCTCCGCGAGGAGTAGAGGGTGCACGAAGACGCGCACTGGCGCTAATCGATAGTGGCATGGCAACCTCGGCCACGTCGCCTCGTCTCATTGACGACGGTACGCACAAGTTGTCGTTAAGTTATTGCGAGCAATAATGGGTTGTAACCACTTGCACCCAATGTGGATCTTAAATATGCATGGGTGTCGCGCACCAACAACTGTTCTAATTTACGCCGGACGAGCACACGGAAAATAGGTATAAAGTAAAAAAACGAATCGTCAACTTTCGGTGTACTATTTCTGGTGTACGGTTGGCTGTAATTACACGGACGGAAGGCGCCTATGCCGATCGGACGAAAATTATTATTTTTATGAGTAAAACACACGCGCCCGCGCGCTGACCTGTACATTTATCGAGGGATTGGTAGGTTGCGCGCTTTGTGTGTCGCAGCGGGCGTCCGACTTGCGACGAAAGGCTTTATTATGATGTGTGCTTTTCTTCTGCAAGCGCGCGCACGTTTTTTCAACCCCTTTCCCTGCAGGGGCTGTATGTATGTGTGCCACGTGACTCCTCTGTACACGAGTTTTGTCGTGGTACCTAATTCCATAATTCCAAGTGTTTGTTTTGCGAGATGATTGTTTTCGGGACCAGCAGATGTATCACGTGAAAATATATGAGGAGATATTTCCACTGTGGGTATTTTTCATAAGTACCAGGCCCGTTTAAGACTTTTTTTTTTTTTTTTTGTTTTGTTCAGCAAAATAAAAGGTTGAATCACTGTTTTACCAAGTAGTCCAAACCAAATACGGGCAGACTGATATACAAAAAAATACAGCCGATGATACGCAATGATATACATATTATGTATATAGTCTTATCTTACTATTCTGTCAGATTGTCACCGTTAGTTAGGTGTTTAGAAAACTTTAATTTTGTTTTTATTTTGTACGAACGAAAATTTCATTACCCAGTAAGGAAAATAGTATGCAGAGCTAAGTTAAATGCTATTGATAGTTTGTAAATGACTGAAACTACAACAACTACATTACAAGACAGGACTCGTTTGGAATTTCTTTTTTTGATTCCATAATGATAAACAGGAGAAAAATATATATCTACGTTTTCAACTCACCGTAGACTATGGTTCCAACACATTTTACTATAAAATTCCTTTATTAATATAAACCATTGTATTTCACTAACATCAAGAAGTTATGTACAAAACTGACAAGTAAAAAAATATCTCTAAATTCTTGTGATATTAAAAATATGTGTAATATGTACCTTATCATCAAGATATAAGCTAAGATAAGAAATTTATCGAAGTATACATACATTTTAGAAATTAACTATATCATTAAATAAATATAAATTTAAAATTAAAACAGTCAGTACTATTTTTAAACAAGACGCAATTACGAGTGAGGTTCATTATAATAATGCTATCATTTAAACACATTCGATGTAGGTACAACTAAATAAGTATTACGAAACTTTGTTACGTTAATAATATCTTCCATATTATGATTAAACTTGGGAAATTTATAGGTTATATTGTGATTGTAATAAAATATCTCTAGTTTACGATTACTTTTAAAATAAATGACATGTTAAAAGGGCTGATATGTGTTTACTAATCGTTTTACACATCTACGGAGAACGTCTGTATTGAAATACGCATGTGGCGAATTTCTGTCTTTTTTTGTCTGTGTAAAAAAAACTATATTAAAACTACGCTTGGAAAACTATACAATAAAATAGCCAAAACGCACTCGAAATAACGAATATTAAGTACTGTACTCACGTTGTAATGAGCAGTTATGTGATGTTGAAAAACCAGTGGAAAAATGTCACTCTTTTACAATTGTAAACAATTTACCAATATATATTTTGGTTGTTGTTGACACTGACGTAAACACCCCAAGCAATAACGATATAGGCGACCACGTGGATGAAAAGGAGAAAGGAGCACACTTAACGATCGCAGCGCCAGTCGTCCAGAATCTTAATTGTAGGGCTGCCAAATATATTCCAAGATTTGTAAGAATTTTGATCATTAAAGTAAAAGTTACAATTAAAACTGTAATATACTCAATAAGTTGATCCCATCACTGAAGATGCAAAAAGTTACTAAGCGCACAGATGTTAAAAACATTTATTACTTATATGATTATGGTTCTTATTCGTAATAAAATAATGATAGAATTCAAACTTGGCGGCTCTTAGAGAATAAAAATATTTTAATTTCAATCGATCACAAAGGCCTCTACCGAAATTATATTTCCCCAAACTTCTCAAAACACATATTGTTTTAATTTTAAAAGTTACAAATAAACATACTTATCACCGTAATTGCAGTTTTATTTGAATATATTACTCATCGCGGAAAAACTTAAAATAAAGAATACCTTGTCATTTTACTTCGCACTTTTAAAAACACTGCGATGTCCACAATCTTTTTTAAAGCTCATAAAAAATACGCTGTGTCTATTCGCACCAAAGAATAGCACGTTGTAAGAGTATATTAGATTTGTTCGGGATTAAGCTTGGAGCTTGTATTGAATCTATTACATTGACTATAGAAAAAAGGAGCGCTCCGAGCTACTCCAAGCTTAATCTCGAACAAATCTATTGTAGTACTATATATATATCCCATCCATTTCCCATATCATTATCATATCCCATCTCACCCCCGCTCCCCGTCTTCGCCGCACTCTCAAGTCTCACCGCAGTTATCGTGAGCCTTCCCTTCACGATACTCAGTTAGTACAATTTTGCCACGTAAATGTAATCGGATGCGACCTGTAGACAGAAGTTTATGCTCATCGTGTCGTAGTTATTAGTAGTGACAGGTTAGCCTTACGTTATGCTGATCGGAGTCCCGGTTGGGGTACACGAAACCTGAATATTTTTTAAAGCCACACAGGGAAATAAAGGATAAAGGAGCAAACATGGGAGGCATGCACAGTGTTGAGATACCGGGAGGTGGTACCGAGGGCTACCACGTATTGCGGGTAACTTTGCACCGATTTACATCTGTTATTAATATGGGAGTGGAGATAAATTGTCATGTTCATATATTTTGCAGGTTCAGGATGGCTCGCCAGGACAGAAGGCTGGTTTGGAAGCTTTTTTTGACTTTATCGTTGCTATGGGCAAAACGAGACTGGTAAGTTTATGACCTGGTTTTCACTCTTCTGTTTTTGTTGATTTTACTTGTGTGTGTATGCGTGTGTCACAATTTGTTATGATTTCATTGGAAAACTGTACAACAGGATCAGGATAATGATACATTGAAGGAGATTCTTAAAACCTATGAGAACAAGGAGTTACCCATAACAATTTACAGCAGTAAAACTCAATCAGTGAGACAATCCACTATCGTGCCCAACTTGACCTGGGGTGGCCAAGGACGGCTTGGTGTCAGCATAAGGTTTTGCTCTTTCGAAGGTGCTAATGAAAATGTTTGGCATGTTTTGGTACGTTTGATTCTTCTATTTCTTTTATAAGTCGTTCAAAGTTAGAGCATTCCATGCCAATGGAATAGCAGATGGAATTCTCTCAAACACTATGGATTTCGTTATTACGGTCATTTTCAATTAAATATTCTTAGTGGAATTTTTCGTTTTTAAGGAAGTTCATCCTTCTTCACCAGCTGAATTGGCTGGACTCCGGCCATTCTCAGACTATATTATTGGTGCAGATTCTGTTCTACACGAAAGCGAAGATTTATTTACATTAATCGAAGCTCATGAGTCGCGTCCACTCAAGTTATATGTTTACAACATAGATGAAGATTCTTGTAGAGAAGTTACCATAACTCCTAATAATACGTGGGGTGGTGAAGGAAGGTAGGTGGAAAAAATGTATTTCTTTGCTCACAAATATGAAAAATTTTACATTAATCACTTGAAAATTTTTCAGCCTTGGTTGTGGTATCGGTTATGGTTATTTGCACAGAATACCAATCAGAAACATTGTGGAAAACAAAGCGCATAATGTTGTTCCGGTAAGATTTTATCCTGCCTTATTTTTGATTATCAAAATGGAACTAATTGAAAGCACACATTTTTCTTTAAATTCCAGACTACATCTGGTCAGAATACAGTGCCCAGTGTTTCATCTCCAACCACTACGCTTGATATACAAGGTCCAGGATTAATTTCACAAGTTTCTATACCTACTGCAGTAAATACACTTCCACAGACACCCCTGCCTCAGAATTTTCCGAATTTCAATTTACCTTCAGCAGATACTACAAAAAACATCCAATATACTTCTGTTGAACAATCAAACCCCAATGTTGTTGTTACAACAAGCATTGTTTCACCAGCCATTCCTATGTATTCACCACAAAATCCGCCAACAAATCTTCCACCAATGTATTCCACTCAAAATCCAGCCATGAGTGTTCCAATGTACTCGCCACTGCAGTCAACTATCAGTATGCCGCAATACTCTATGGCTCAACAAAATATTGGCTATCCTTCAAGTAAGTGAAGCATTTAAATCGAGTAAAAAACATAGATTTTTGTACAAATCAGTTAATAAATTACTCTTACTATTTGCAGCTATAGAACCAGGCACGCCAAATATTCCTGGCATGCCCATGAGTCCACCACCGTTACCATCAAACGTTCATAGTACACTATTCCAGCCAAACTACAGTTCTCCGCTACCAACACTTGCTTCAGTAAGTATATCAAATTTGAACACTCCTCAGCAGCAACCGCAATTCGTGACGACTCCTCTGGAATTACCTGGAATGCCACCTATCACGGTGAGCGCTTCAGTGCCTCAACAAAGCTCACCGTTTTATCAGCAATCTAACATCATTTCCCCATGAATGCAATAATAATTGAATACATTACATAAGGCAGGACGAGCTATTTTTCAACCGCTTTTTAAACAATTTGTACTCGTTTTATGAAAGAGAGAAAATGAGGATATTCATTTTATCAGAGATATATTGTAATTGTAAAACGCAGGTTGTTGTGCAAGCTGTTGCGTTTTTGTTGTAAATACACAAATAAGTAACTTTGTCAATAATCTTTTTATTTAAAATATTAGAAAAAAAAAAAAAAGTTCCAAACAACAAAAAAAATCATTTCCAAGTAAAACATGAATTTGATATTTATTTGTATGACATATGTATTGTAATGTTAACTGTATCAATTTAAGCAAGCTATTTTTATTGTTATTTATAAATAGACATTTATAGCTTAATGGTAAACACTAGACTATTAAATGTTTATTTTTTCGTTTTCATTTATCCAGCATGATTTTTATTTCTCCTAATATTTCTTGTCAGTATTTTCCGAATAAAAAATTTTCGGATATTACGATTTTGATCTTTTGTTTAAAAAACATGAAAATAAATTTTAAATAAACTATTAATGATTAGCAATTGTCTATTGTAATAGAGTTGACTTTTTTTACCACAATAAAAAAAAAGTTTTTTTACCAAATAATATTACTGACCATAAAAATGTTAGAATACGACCTAAGTGAATTAAAAACTGGTAGTGAAAGAGAATTCTAGTGACCCAGATTAAGAACTCTCTTTTCAAAGCTACAAAAAACATAAAAGAGCACATCCAACAGCATCTTTCTATTACAAAACTGGATCTTCAACAATACCTCTGATCAAAGTTTAATAAAGGTTTGAAGAATCTTTGTATATATTTTCTATAATAAATAAACATAAATTTTGTGTTTCTATACATGTGGATATGATTGTTCATTTCCTAAATTTTTAAATATAACAGCAATTTGTATTTTGTTTGAAAGCAACCATGTACATTGTCTCTTTAGATTAGTAGAAATTACAAATGTGTAAGTGTAAAATAAAAGAAGTTCAGTAAGTAACTAGAAATGAAAGTGAAGTAACACAAAAAATGTAAATTAAGTATTATTTCAGTGTATTTGACTCACATGATTACAAGATTATTTATTCTATTTCGATTATCGAGTAATTGAACAAACAACGTCAATGACGAAAGCCTCCACTTGTTCCTCTATCGTACAATATACAACTTTAACAAATTAGTCTTGCCACACTTGTTCTCCTCATCTTTTGAACAGCAAAAACAGCCGTCCTGGCAGTACTCATAACACACCGTACAGTAGTTATATTACGGAGCAGATGACAGATAGCTTATATGATGACATCGGTGTCCCCCAGTTCCTCGTCGGTGGGCAATTTCACCTTGGCCTCATCGATAACGTTCAATGTAATGGGTGGCAAACCAGCAGCTTCCCTCTCGCGAAGTCGCAAGTATGCTTCCCTCTGGGCCCAGTCCTTGTAACGGTTGTCGGGGATGTATATCATGACCCAGCTACCACCAATCAAGACAAGCGAGACGCCGAAGAGGTAAAACAAATGCATGAGGCGCCTGTCGATGTACTCGCTCGTGTCGTCGAAGCCGTAAGACACCCAGCATTTTTTCGGATGGGCTGGGTCTGGCTCGGTGTACTGTTCCATCGAGGAGTTGGCCATGCTGGCCTGGTTGTCGCTCTTCTGGGTGCCTGAAGTGCCGACACCGCGAAGTTGGCTCAGCTGCACGCAGGTGTTGGTGCTGTGGCAGGGCTTGTTGACGTTACCGCGAGCTACCCGGCTGACATTCACCAGACCCTGGAGGGCGCGTAGTCGCACCAGGTTTGCCATCGCTGACGGACAGAGCAGCGGCCCGACTCTTGAGTTTGTGTTATGAAACTGCGCGTTCTTTTTCCCTGACGTCTGTCTCTGTCTGCGGGACTCCGGATTAAAGGCGAAGACGACGTTTCGTAAGATTCGTTTCACACGTTATTCAGAACCTATAGGCATATATGCGCGCGCGCGCAGACGACAAAAATTAAAGTTGCGTAGATCAGATATACTTAAGTATATGCTTCATTAAATCACAACAAAACGCTTTTTTTCTGATACCGCTGTTGTAAACAATACGCTAGTTTTTAAGTGTGACCACATTCATTCACTGCTTCCACATTATAAATCTATTACTCAATTACAGCTGCAATAGCAATAAGTTAAATTCGTGGAAAATCGATTAAATTGGTTTTAAAGTCAACCACCAGGTGAAAAACCTGCTTTCGTTTTTACAAGTCGATTGGTAGCGTCACGCATTTTAATTATTTGACATCATAACATTGTTTTGTCAAAAATTTGTTTACCGTACCATGGAGAGTAGGATAGATAATTTATGCAGTGGAGCTCCATACTTTTTGCTAAATTAACGAAAATCAACCGAGAACTACGGTGTACACGAACATACAACGTAATAAAGGCCAAGTGTATTTAATAGTCAGTAAAATGAAGGATAATTCAAAGAATCATGAAAATAACACTATGACAACAAACAGTGTTGAAAGTAGCTTTGAGCAGGTATTCGATGACAGCAGAGCAGATAGAGATTCTCCAAATTTCAGTAGGATAGAGTCTGTTGCTGAAACTGGAGCTTATTGTACAAGAGATCAGTGTAAGTAGATATATCCAAAATGCTGCATTCAAAATAGTATTAAAAGAATTTCTGTTTATATTTGCAGGTGTCAAAATATTGAAAAGGTGTAAAAAATTCTTGAGAGATGCACATGTATACGAAAAACTAGAAAGCTTCTTTAAATATTTGTTAGACAATCCTGCATTGCTGATTGGTTTTACCATTGTCACGGCTATATTTATCATCCCGGTATTGTTATTTACTGCTTTTGCCATTATAAACGTTGCTGTTGCATTCACTGGTTTCATGATTATAGAAGGTAATTTAAGACTTTTCTGTCAAATACGATTTTTCTTGATTTAATGATTCATTTATTTCAGTGGTACTTCTATTGATTGGACTGACGGTTCTCTGCTGTATTCTCTTTTTTATAATATCCGGCATTATGGTCACAGCAGTATCATTCATCATTTCTGCTTTCATAACTTATTCTTCATTTATACTGGTCAAGAATAAAATACGCCCTCAACGATAGTTTGGCACTTAAAAACATTAATTTTATCGTTATTTTACATTGCATTACAAAAATCACTTTGTAAAATTGATCAAAAGAACGCATTACATTTGAGTTTCGTAAAAAATACATTTAGTTGTAAAAGCTACGCATAAAACTATATTCTTAAACTTAATGTAAAATATACTACTATTATCTCAGTTATTTGCTGACAAATTCTCTTTACTTCCTTCTCTCACAATAGTTTTTGGTGGAAAAGTGGATTTGTGAATATCTTTCCACAAGGATTCTCTTAGTGATTTGAAGTTAATGTCACTTTTATAAAAAATTTTTTGCAAAAAATCTTTTTTATTTGTTATATCTGATAAAAAGCGTCAAGAAAATATAGTCTAATAAAGTAAGAATCTTCGAATTGTTTAATTTTTAAAGGATACATCCTTGAAAGACATTCTCCGGAGCAGAGTAATCCCACCGCACGCAAGTGAATTCTTTATACAACTTGAGCTTTCGCCTGGGAAAAAAGTGTGATTTAATAAGCAATACACGTGTTTATAATTAAGAATACGTACTTTCCACGTTCCAAGAGCCGTTCATCCCTTATGCTTGGTTTTGCAGTTTTCAAATTTTTATGCTTTGCTTTCAAATCAACTAAAGAAACATCTAAATTTACTTTTTCCTGCTTCAGGGCTTGCTGTAATGCAAGAGAAAAGTCTTAGTTTTCAAAGATAATTGTAAACAGTACTGTTTGTACTAACCAATATATTATTTTGCTCTTCAGCTGCATGCATTTTTTTTTCAAGATTTTGCTTTTCACTTCCATATTCTTCTTTCAATGCATCCACCTCTTTGGTTAGTTCACTGATCCTTCTACTATTCTCTGGAACAAATTTGATTTATCTACTGTCTTACTATGAATAATAATTATTAATTTTCAATAGTAGTACCTTCAAATTTCTGCTGAGTTTTGTCATTCTCAAAACATATATTTGATATTCGTTGTAATTTATTTTTTATATTTATCCTATTTGCTACATATTTTCTCCTCACGGTTGCTAGATTCTCTTCATTCTAATAAATAATAGTTATTTTAACGGTAAATATTGTAATTAATAACTTATAGGTTATAGTAATCCCTTATTCCTGTGAAAATTAATTTACTTACTGCCATTTTTACTAAACACTTTTTTTCACTAAGTAAGTATAGCGTTCAGTTTAATTTCAAAAAATTGCTAACCGCTATTCCCGATCACTATAAAAAATGAAACAAACAAATGCTTAAGGTCCAGTTTCTATGAATTTCAAAATGGTGCAAGATCGATATAGTAGGTATTCTTGTAACCAATTTGTATATCCCAAATACTGCAGATTTAAAAATTTTTGTAAAAAAACCATTTGATTAAAGTATAAAAGTAATGTCAGCATTAGGTATAGCATAATTTAAACTTTTAATAAGTTTAACCAGAAAATATCATTATTTTAAACTAATTTTTTCATCACAAAAAAAACTTATAAGGTAAGTTACTTTTCAAAAGTACACACGTATATATATCTATACGTATGTGTGTATATATTTGTTGTAAACATAACCGTAATTTACCGGTGTTTTGCTTACAACGTCGTTGATCATTCGTTTACCTGAATAACATAACAAATAGTACAGATAAGTTGTAAAAATGGTTGTCCGTCAATATAATGAGGAGCTCAAGTACTTAGAGAAAATAAATGATTATTGTTGGAAAATCAAAAAGGGTTTTCAACCCAACATGAAGGTTACAATCATCATTAACTTTAAAATAGTGTGCTTTTTGTATCAATTAGGTATTACCTAAAGTATCAATTTCAATTAAAGGTTGAAGGTGTGTTTTATGTCAACAACACGCTTGAAAAGTTGATGTTGGATGAGTTGAAAAATGCTTGCAGACCTGGTGCCATTGGAGGCTTCTTGCCTGGGGTTAAACAAATTGCTAATGTTGCTGCACTACCTGGTATTGTGGGCAGGTCAGTCGGCCTGCCTGATATTCACTCTGGTTATGGATTTGCCATTGGTAACATGGCAGCTTTTGACATGAATGACCCAAAGTCCATTGTATCACCTGGTGGAGTAGGTTTTGATATTAATTGTGGAGTTAGGCTGTTAAGGACAAATCTGTTTGAAAGAGATGTGTTGCCAGTTAAGGTAAAAAAAACTTTGTGCAGTTTTTAGGGAATCTTTTTAATGACCAAAATATTACATTTCATATACTCATATAGGAACAACTAGCTCAGAGTATGTTTGACCATATACCTGTAGGAGTTGGCTCTAAAGGTATTATCCCGATGAATGCTAGAGACCTGGAAGAAGCATTGGAAATGGGTATGGACTGGTCCCTCAGAGAAGGTGTGTATCATTTTCATCGTTTCATAACAGAGCATGAATTGAATTTTTGTTCAGTATCATATTAAGATACTATATTTACAATAACAGGATACATCTGGGCTGAAGATAAAGAACATTGTGAGGAGTATGGTAGAATGTTGAATGCCGATCCATCTAAAGTCTCTACAAGAGCTAAGAAACGAGGTCTTCCCCAGGTAAAATTTTTATTTAAATTACTTAATTAATTTCATTAAAATTATAATGCTTCTTAGTTAGGTACCTTGGGAGCAGGGAACCATTATGCTGAAATCCAAGTTGTAGATGAAATTTTCAATAAATCAGCAGCTAGTAAAATGGGTATTGAAGAAAAAGGACAAATTTGTGTGATGATTCATTCCGGAAGTCGCGGTTTTGGGCATCAAGTAGCAACTGGTAATTACAATAAAAATTTTTTGAATTGTCAACAATTGGTTCAGCTTTTAAGTTTTCATCATACTTTTCAGATGCTTTAGTTCAGATGGAAAAAGCTATGAAAAGAGATAACATCGAAACAAATGATCGGCAATTAGCTTGTGCTCATATTAACTCACAAGAAGGCCAAGATTATTTAAAAGCCATGTCAGCAGCTGCTAACTTTGCTTGGGTAAACAGAAGTTCCATGACTTTCTTGAGTAGGCAGGCATTTGCTAAACAATTCCGTATGTCACCGGATGACTTGGATATGCACGTTATTTACGATGTGTCTCATAACGTAGCTAAAATAGAAGAACATATGGTTGATGGAAAGCAAAAGACTCTTTTGGTTCACAGGAAAGTAAGTGTGCCTTCTAATGCTTTGATACAATATGCATCTATCTGAATAATTGAGATAAATAATAATCACTGTTACATTGATAGGGATCTACCAGAGCTTTTCCTCCTCACCACCCATTGATTCCAGTCGACTACCAATTGACAGGTCAACCAGTTTTAATTGGAGGTACTATGGGTACATGTAGCTATGTACTTACAGGTACTGAACAAGGAATGAAAGAAACTTTTGGCTCAACGTGTCATGGAGCTGTGAGTTTAATGTTTCAAGATTTTATTAAAATTTTTTTTTTTTTATACTCAATAACATACCAAATTTTACAGGGCCGTGCACTATCTCGTGCAAAATCAAGAAGAAACTTGGATTATCAAGCTGTCTTGAATAAATTAGAGGACATGGGTATATCCATTCGTGTAGCTTCTCCAAAACTAGTCATGGAGGAAGCCCCAGAGTCGTACAAAAATGTAACTGATGTTGTAAATACGTGTCATGCAGCAGGAATTTCTCAAAAGTGTATTAAACTTCGACCTATAGCCGTTATTAAGGGCTGAAGAAACAAGTGTTTGAAATACAATTTTTGTAAAGCTTTTTTAAGAATACAAACACAACACTCAGCAATCTGAGAATAATTTTTTTAATTCACTGCGTCATAGTAATTAATTAAGTAATATATATTTATACAAAGAAAATAAATATTAAAAAACAATAACGTTATAGAATAAATAGGATTATGGAGGAAATAATAAGTATTTTAATTCAATATTAATTCATTGACGTTTTCAACATCTTTAGTCATCGCTGTTCAGGTAGATGTAAACGTAAAATGACGGTGATTGTTCGTGGTGAGACCAACATTATGTCCATCCCTAGGTAACTCTCATAGTAAGTTAAGACTTTAACAGATTTTGAAACAAAAATTAGTGAAAATGGTTGCACGGTGTATCACAATCCATAGACATGTCCCTTGAGTAGAAAAATCTCAATAGCTCTACAGTTTTCAAATATAATTAAAATCAACGTACATAGCAGTACTTTAGAAATATTGTACTTGAATATTACTATTAAGATATAGCTTTGCTTACGAAAAAAAACACTTTGTCTTTTTTATATGAAAAAACGTCTACGTAATGAATTGTTAAACAAAATTTTATGAAATATTTTGGTTAACAATTTATTTGTTATTGATCACTATACAAAAAGTTTAATTCGTTAGTCTTATCTTATCATCCTCGCCATTCCAGCAAATATGTTATATAAAAATAAAATTTTCTGCATTCAATTTCAATTTTATTTTTCAAGATATTTACATAAATTATAAAAAACAAAAAATTTTAATAAACTGGTATTTTGCATCCTTTTTTATTTTAATTCTTTAAAAAAAGCCATAGAATAATTTGTACACAACAGATGTAGTGTAATTTATTTATTCCAAACGCTGATATAAATAAATGTATCCTAATTCTTTGGGTGGATTTTCAGACAAATAGACCTGAAAAGAATTATAATTGGTATTATATAAATAAGAAAAATGTACAAGTAAAAATGTATTATTTACCTTTTCGTCATTAAACATCACCCACTTTCCATCTTTCAATAAATGACAAACGTAATGCCCAACCATTGTTGATGTACCCATGTGAGTAATAAATCCAATCAATTTATATTCTAATGTGCAAAGACAACATATTTATTAGTATTTTTGAATTCTTGTATCGACTGATTGATTAAAACTTACTTCCACTCCCATCTCTGAATGTGGGCTGCGACGGCACAGCTGTGGCATTATCTTCCATTTCTATGCCATCAAGTTCGGATATGTGATTGAGTGCCCAATCTGCTGCACGCTCCAAATTATTATTCGTGGCTTTCAAAGCTACGGTTGCCTGTTCCCGAGTAAAGCCCATACTCATTACCATTTCTAGTGATTCTTGATTTGGTACGAAGGTTTCTGAGGAAGCGGCATCGTCTACCAATAGACATTCATGGTAAACAAATATAACAATTACTTACAGGTTTTTGAAATATTAAAACTTACTTTTCCTTGCATCAACACCGGGAGGTACAAATTCAGTAGTGAAATCATCGTCCGAAATGTGATACATTAACCAGTTTATGGCAGTCTGCAATCCAGAATTTTGTGTGAAATATAACGATCTTTTACATGCCTCAATCGGGAATCCCATTTCGGTTAGTTCTGTTAGAATAGCCTGATCATAAACGAGAGGTGGTGACGCCACTTTAGACTCTGGCAGTAGTTCCTCGTTTTGTTGCAAACCACTACCCCTCAAGGAACTTAAATCTAAAGTGTCTGGCACTTCCATGGCAACGTCCAATTTCACGGAAGTCCAGTCTTCCTTAACAGTAAATTTCTTCAAATGGATGAAAAGAAAATCGGGAAAAGATGCTAACCTTGTATACCTAGACAAGATTATACATCATTAGAGAAAAACAAAGTTTAAAATGATAAAAAATTCGTAACGAGGTTGGGGCCTTACTTAGTGGCAGTTGTTGTACTATTTAAAGCAGTACTGTAAAACTGTTCGACAGTTTCAGTTTTGGCAAAACTTTCTATACAAGATGATAACTTAATACGAGGTCTAACAATAGTATTGAGATCTATCTTTGACTTGTCCTCTCCAGATTTGCTCTGTTCGTAAGCGGCAACTTCTTCCTACACATAAATTTACTATAGATTGAATCACCATAGTAAAAATTTTTTTGTATGTATAAAATTATACCATACTTTATTCAATACCATATCCATAGGAATAGGTAAAGGCAGTAAATAATCCGGTCTATACGTGTACTTGACTTTGCCAGAGCTACACTGGTATCTTTCTTCGATTCTGAATTTAAAACCATCAGATGGATTCAGTTGATGACGACTGTTCCTCTAAAAAAAAAATAAAAAATTCAAAATTTTAAATAAAGGCTGTGGCTATTAGTATTATAAATCACATAATAATTACGTCTAAGGCATTAATCAAATGCAAAAGGAATTCCTGTGCATCCTGCTGTCGATTAGACATAAATCCTGGATGCCCACGACCAATCAAATTTTTAAACATCCTGGGAGAAATGCCTTGACGACCGTCATCATTTTTATTAGATTCATCAGGAGGCTGGGAATATTTTCCAGAAAGCAAACCATTGCCCAACTTTGCCCTGAAAATTAAATTTATTTTAGCATTGTACGATTAACTTTTGCATTAAAAATTATTTTCCGATCACACTTACATTTGAGTATTGAAATCGTTGATAGGATCGTTAAAACTTTCATAAAAAATATCGTCGGCTTTTTTAACATATCTAAAATAAAAACTTGTATGATTAAAATAATATATTAAAAAACATAATTTTTTTTACAAGTACAAACCTTTCCATAAAATCTGGCATTGAGAAACATACTTGGATGACGCTATTCATGTAACAGGAATTACCTAAATTGACAAGCCCTGTATAACCAGGACCATAAAGAGGTGTTAGTTGGGTGCCTCCTTCCTGCATAACAATCCAATCGCCGAACTTTTGATTCAATTCTAATTCTAGTTCAATCATTGATTTTTCGGTCTTTTCCATATTAGCAATATTGATGCCCCAGTGAGACAAGTGAACTGCCAAATTGGGATCTTGAACCATGTCATCCTCATCGTAAGAATAAACATCGGCTTTTCCATCTCTAGAAATGGTGCCTAATTTCACAGCTAGTGGATACTGAGTATTTCTATAATGCTCTACAGCATGATCGTTGCCACCAGTGCCATCGTAAAATTTACGACCGCACATAATTGAGCCATCAGTCAAGTTAAGCCACAAATTAGTAGTCAAATCACATTTTTCACACGTCCAACCACTTGGGGGTATTTTTTTGCCATTATCCAATTGAAGAAGATCCGTATGCCTTTAAAAAAAAAAAAAAAAAAAGAAATAATAAGTAAATTACAAGTATTTATGAATCAAAAAATTACTTTGTAAACGCCCTAATTTCGCCATCCCACGTGCCATCTAATGCTTCTCTTTCTGCAACTTTCAAAGCAGATTCTGCTTTCAGGAGCCGATTCACTGATTCTTTTACCTATTTATTACAATCAAGCATAAAATATAGTTATTTCACTTACTAGTAATTTTTATAAAGTAACTTACTTGCTTATGAATTTGTTCATCATCATCAGAGTAAGGGATGGTTATGAATTCTGGCAATATTACAAGTGCATATTCTTCTTTATAGATGTACTTTTGTAAATTTGGATTAAAGCCACCTGGTGTTCCGATTGCTAAACGTGTAATTTTTTTATCAGGACCACCTACTGATTCTAACTGGTCTTCTGGAATCTACAATATAATTAAACTTTATATTTGACATCTTTGTTGATAGAATTAATTTTGAAATAAAAATAGATGTGACTAGTGATGCCTGATCCAAACAAACCTCATGCTTTGTCCTTTTAATATGAAAGTATACATTGTGACCTGAGCGTTCGTAATACTTAAGCACGTAATCTCTACCAAAACCCAGGAATGTCGTTAGACATACATATAAGCCAGTTGAAGTTTCCTGATCAATGCAAACACAAAAGTTGATCATATTTGAACAACAACATACAACTTGGATTACAAAAAAATAAAGAAAAATTCCAATACCGGAGTATCAAAGGACAAGGCACACTCATCCTTGTAGATCTTAGTATCTGGTCCTGGTATTCTAACTTTTGACAAATGATTTTTCAATTCCTCCATATCGTTCCGGATGGCGTGAAAAACAAGCTCAGCAAAATGACGGTGCTCCTATAGCGACACTGCACTTTTTTTTTTATTTTTACAATTACTAACTTAACCTGCGAAATAAACCGGTACCTATAAATTAAAAGTCAATATTTCCGCTCAGTATCAGAGTAAACAAGAAAACAAAGTAGTGGAAGACAAGTCCATTTGTATCCTCATAGAATGACACTGAAAAACGGCACTTTACCTATATCTAAATATCTTAAATTAAAAAATTTATGTGTAGAAATTATAGATGCTATAATTAAGTATATTTTTCTTTCATCTAGCTAAGCAACAGCAAAGCTTTTGTTCACTTCCTACTTTTTTGTCTTCTTGTGTGCTTCCTATGTGTAAAAGCATGCTATAGGAACTTTTGCTTCTTGATGACTAGTTTCTTACTAGTTATTTTAAAAGCCTAACACTTCAGTTGGCAGTCCTTTAACAATTTTTTTTTTTTTTTTTTTTTTTTTTAAACGAGGGATTTCCAGTCATTAAATAAAAATTACTATGTTTATTGACGAAACACAACCAATATATAGAGAGAAAATTTGACTTTCTTCTACATAATTCCATCGCAAGTAAATGTGAAAAAACTAGTTGGAAAAAATTATCTTTTTGATTTAGTCAATTATTACTGTCGATTTTTTTGTCATTTAGCACATATTTGTGTCAGTCATAGCCACTAAATTTCATTTACTTATCTACCTTATCTGCCTTACTTGTCAAAAATACTTCTGTGCGTTTTTTAGGAAAACTTCTACGAAGGAAAGTCTTATTGTACGTGTATCAAAAATGATCATAATGAAACTTGTATGACCTAGAACTTTTTTTTTTTTTTTTATTCATTGCAGAAAACTATCTTTAATCATTAAACAAAATAATGCTTTTGTACACCCTGCAGCATTTCTCACAAATTTTATACGAACCACACTTTAATGGTAAAAGGTCTTATGTATTGTAGTTTTGTATATATGGTCGATTTTATAAGCCATGTAAGATAAGTAAAATATTCATACTGTTGAAGGTACGTTGACGTTTTATTTTACATCTATAAAATTAGTTGCGGCTGGTTTATAATTATTGACTACATGGGGTGTTTTCCGCAATCGTCACCAGCAAGTAATTTAAGGTTGCGCTCTACGCTACCATCAAGTCGGTAAGTTAACTACCTTGAATTAACTGGCGCTCTGTTCCGTAATCTGCATGGCCAGATTACGGAATATATAGCGCCAGTTTAATTCAAGGTAAGTATAGTTGACCTCGGTTGACTTACTGACCTGACGGTAACGTAGAGCGAAAATTTAAATTACTTGCTGGGTTGCTGGTGACGACGATTGCGGAAAACACCCCAAGCGGCGTTACCACCACGACCTACGTAACTTTACAGCCTCTGATTTTATCATTCTGGTAAAGAGAGCACGGTGTAAGATGTACGTGAAGTTATGTGTAGTAATTAAAGTAATTACTTCTAAGTAATGCCATATGGTCGATTTTATTAAACCATATGAATATCTACATTTTTGGAGGTCAACTTTTGGCTAAAAAATAGATTGTAAACTTGCCACAAACAGCACAGACCACGTCAACTTTTTATTAAGTATATATCTATGAAATTAGTTGCGGCTGGTTTATAATTGATTAAATGGCTCTAATATAAGAAGTAATAATAATTTGGATCAGCGCCATCTAGCGGTCTTTGTTTTTTGACCAAAAGTGGCTCCTAAAATTCTCAATCAGAGCATTCGGGATTAGAGCCATTTAGTCAATAATAAACCAGCCGCAACTCATAATGAAGCTATAAAATAAAAAAATAACGATACATGTGTTTTTGACGGCAAGTTAACAATTTATCTTATGCTTAAAAATTTATCTTCAAAAGTACAAACACTTAGAAGGTCAATTTTTTGGTAAAAAATAGATTGTTAACTTGCCGCAAAAAACACATGTATC